GATGTCCTGGTTCTTTGGCCTTAGCTGGCGTCAGGCTGGCCCAACTCCCTGGACCTCAGCCCTCCAGCCGTGCAAGTAGACTGAGGTGCCCGGGCCACGCAGAGGGCAGCCCCAGAGGGCCTTCCCTTCCTGGACTTCCATCCTGGGGCCAGGGCAGGTTATTTCGTCGCTCAGGGATCTGTAAAATGGGAGTTACTTCAAGATGGAAGCGTTTCTACCATCCTTCTGGGTTCCTCCATATCAAATGTCTTAAACAGAAATGGTTCTAGATATTAGACTTTTTTAAATACAGGGATGTCAAGGATGTTAAAAAATGGAACAATACAAGGAGCACCCAGTGGTCCTGCCTCAGTCCCTACCCCCTTCTCTGTGTCTGGGGCAGTCTACACAGAGAGCCCAGAAGCGTTTCACTTTAAATATCTCGGCGTGGTGTTCTGACCGTCTAAGATCTTTCACAGCGTCGTCAGTTATCATACCTAACTCCATTAGTGAATTCCCAGTATCCTCTGACACCAGTGTGGCCTCAGGTTTTCCTGATGATCTCAGAATGTCCAAGTCAGGATCAGACAAGGTCCACACGTCGTGTTTGGCTGATAGGTTTCTTTCTTTCTTTCTTTTTTTTTTTAAAGACTTATTTGAAAGTCAGAGTTACACAGAGGAGAGGCAGAGAGAGAGAGGGAGAGATGGCCACAACGGCTGGAGCTGCTCCGATCTGAAGCCAGGAGCTTCTTCGGGTCTCCACGCAGGTGCAGGGGCCCAAGGACTGGGCCATCTTCTACTGCTTCCCAGGCCACAGCAGAGAGCTGGATCAGAGGGAGCAGCCGGGACTAGAACTGGTGCCATATGGGACGCCGGTGCTTCAGGCCAGGGTGTTCACCCACTGTGCACAGCGCCAGCCCCAAGGCCGATTTGTTTCTTAAACCTCTTCTGGGTCTTTTGAGTTTTTGTTTGTGTCCTGCCCCACCCAACCTCCCTTGCTTGTTTTCTTGCCATTTATTGTAGAAGAGGCTGGTTAAGTTTTTTCTTTTTATGAGCGCATTTGAGCATTATGAAAGCCTCATGTACAAGAGGATGATGGGTGGAACTCACCCGGCCAGAGAAAGCGTTGTTAAAATCCTGTGCCAGAGAGCAGTTTTGCCAAATATATTTTCTATTTTAGACAGCGTTTTGCAAAACAAGCCTTAAAGGGCTCAGGACTCTTTTCCTGGGCTGATCACCCTGTGAGGTCACACAGGAGGAATGAGGAGTAGGCACGGGCCTGCTTTTGCTGGAGTGGGATCCTGTTTTTTGTTTTAAAGATTTATTTATTATTTGAAAGGCAGAGTGAAGGAGATATAGAGAAGGATATTGCACCTGCCGGTTCACTCCCAGATGGCTGCAATCGCTGGGCCGGGCCATGCCGAAGCCAGGAATTCCATCTGGGTCTCCCACACCAGTGGCAGGGGCCAAGACACTGGGCATTTCCCGCTGCCTTCCTGGGTGCATTAGCAGGGAGCCGCATGGGACGTGGAGCAGCGGGGCCTCCACCTGGCACTCGTACTGGATGCTGTCGTCACAGGAGACAGCTTAACCCCCGCACCGCGGTGCTGGCCCCGGGGAGTGGGGTGCTTTGGACGGAGGAGTGTGCAGCTGTGTGGATGCCCTGGCCAGGGCCAGCGTGGAGCGGGCAGGTGTGTGGCAGGGATGCTGCCCCTTCCTTCACAGGGTCAGGACAGTGAAATCGGGGTGTCTGGTATTTACAAGATGGAAGTCAGCAGCTGAGAACCAAATTCCTTTGCAATTAGAAGTTGATTGCTGGATGACCCGCCAGAGTCTAGTCCAACTCTGCTGTGTACGAGCAGGATAGAAAGATCTAGAACAGGAGAAGTTGGGACCAGCATTCCAGGGCCCTGGTTTCACGTACTGTTGCTTCAGCAGGAAGTCAGACCATTGTGGGGAGCAGATGCAGCCCGATTGAATCCCGCCAGGCAAGCGTTGTGCCGGCAGTCAGTTGCTACACAGGGCGTAGGTAGACCAGGCCAAGCAGTGACTGCGTTTGGATCCGTGCCGTCTTTATTTGAACAGTGAGACATCCAGGTAGCTTGGAGCGGCAGGACAAGGACAGAATCCTAGTCACTGCATCCTCGCTCAGCCCCAGTTGTGGGGTCGTGCATGTGCTGGGTGTTTTTAAATTGGTGAGTAACACTTGGCGGCGTTGGGAGCTGCAGCAGCTGGTTCTCGGCTCTAGTTATCACAAACCCTAGCTCTGCACTGTGAGGAGGCCGCAGACCCGTCCCCAGAAAGGGAGGGTCGTTGAAGCTCTCAGTATATTTGTAACAGGCTGGCATTGGTCAAAGAAGGGCTCGCTGAAATACCACGTGACACGGGCAGACACAGGCCCAGGAAATGAGTGTGAGTGACACGGGCAAACACAGGCCCAGGAAATGAGTGTGAGTGACACGGGCAAACACAGGCCCAGGAAATGAGTGTGTGTGACACAGGCAAACACAGGCCCAGGAAATGAGTGTGCATGACACAGGCAAACACAGGCCCAGGAAATGAGTGTGAGTGACACAGGCAGACACAGGCCCAGGAAGTGATGCGTGTGCGAGGCCTTGATCCCAGCTGAGGCAGCGGGGGTGGGTATCCTCGCCTTTTCCGAAAGCAGCCCTTTCCCCCGTAAACCAGGAAGGCACCGGGGAGATCCTTACACGGAGACCCAGCTGGTGCCGTGTTGAGAGGAGGTGACGTGGACGAGCCAAGGCTGTGAGAAGCAGAGCTGCTGTGAGGCCCACACTGTGTGGGGTTTTGTGCAGTCTTATGACCCCAGTTCTGGGCCATAGCTGCTGCGTGCCTCCGAGCGAGGTTTTTCTTTCTAAGATTTATTTATTTATTTAAATTCATCTGAAAGGGGAGAGAGAGGGAAGGAGGAAGGCATCTTCAACCTGCTGCTTCACTCCCCAGATGCCCGCAACAGCTGGGGCTGCGCCAGGCTGCTGGGAGCAAGGGGCTCCATCTGGGTCTCCCAGTGGGTGCAGGGACCCAGCTCCTGAAGCCATCATCTGCTGCCTCCCAGCACGTTAGCAGGAAGCCGAGTAGGAAGTGAAGTAGCTGAGACTTGGACCAGGTGCTGGTATGGGATGTGGGAGTCCCAAGCAGTGGCTCAAACACTGTGCCACAGGGCCTACCCTCTGAGTGAGTTTTTAAAGCCTCAGTTTCCTCATCTGTAAAGTGGGTGCGGTAAGCATCTCTTCTTCAGGTTGTCCTGAGGACTAAATGGGGTAGCGTTGAGAATAGTGCCTAGCACACAGTCCACACTCAGTGGTTGTCATCGTCATCACCACTGCTGCCACTGGCAAGGGGGGCAGGGCCGTCTGCAAGGCAGGGCTGCTCCTCAATCTTCCCAGGCGTCCAGGACAGTCCTTGTCTGTGCTGCTGACTTGTCCTTGGCAGTGCATTAAGGCGCCATTGGAATGACTGCGGGGAGGGAGTGGCTTTGCTTTCGGCAGTGGAGGACCTGAGCGCACACGTTAGCCCTGACCACTTGGGTCCCTCAGATGTGGAACGAGGTGTGCCGACATGGGGCATGTCCTAGCGGAGCCAGGAGGGAAAACGCACCCGTGGCCCTCACGACTTCCCCAGAAGCGTTAGCCTGCTGGGCTCTGCCTTTGGGCCCTGCCAGGGGTGCGCCCCGTCCGGTGCCGCGGCTGAAGCCCGCAGGACAGCGCAGGCTGCCAGCCTGGGAAGGCTCTGCAGTGTTTGCAGCCCCGCAGCATCTGTGCCCTGGTCTCTGGGGTGAGTGATGAGTGATTTCTGATGTCCGACACAGGCTGCACGTCCCACTGGTGTCTCAGCAGGAGCAGCACAACGCCTCCCTTCTCCCTGGATTTTCAAAAAACAGATGCTTCCCATCGGCAAGTGAGAGGAGATGGGTCCAAGCAGTCTTGTGTCCTGCACCGGTGTGGCCCGGGAGCTAAAGGAACTTATGTGGTCTACTCAGGACACAACTGGTTTATATCAAGTTATATATTGAGAGCAAGGCTCGAAGAGAAGGAAGGTGGAGAGAATTGTGGGGAAAGATGAAGGGAAACCCTCCACCTCCCGGAAAGGCCGAGCAGTGGCTTTGGGCTTCCACCCCCGATGGCTGGGCCAGGACCAGGAGGCTGGTGGTGCCACGGCTGGAGACGGGAGTGCGCGTGCCGGTTGCACTGTTGTCTCCTTCGGCCCTGCGTGAACTCTGCGTGTGACATGTGGTCTCTTTGGTCCTCAGGGAGTGCCCGACGTCCGGCTGGCCTACATCCAGTTTGCTCTGTCCTTCTTGATTGCTGGTGACGACAGCACCATAGTGCAGGTGCTGGAGCTGAAAGGTACGTGTCCCTGTGTCCCTCAGAAAGCCCGCTCGTCACCGCTCTCCAAGATCCGCTGCCCACCGTTCTTCCCGGTGACCAGAGGCCGCAGCCTCTTTCACAGGCTGAGAACGCGTGTGCGTGTGGCCAGGCAGCGGTGGTGCAGGTTTGACCCCACGGGTCAGAATGAACACAGGTGTTCCTGTCTGCCATCTGGATGCCCAGCGAGCCCCTCACCAGGACAAGTGCCAGCCTCAGGGAGGCAAACTGGGGTGAACAGAGGCGGCCCAGCTGCCTGGCCTTCCATGGCTAGTGTGTTGTAAAATACGGCTTCACCGCCTCGGTGGCTGTGCCATGTGGTGCCAGAAGGTCTGTCACTGGGCTCCAGGGAGTTCCAGCCTGGCCGCCTTCTGGGGCCGTCTCCAGAGAGAGAGGCTTAGCGTCGTGTGACCCATTAGGGCCACTTGCATTTGGGCGGGAGGTTCAGGAGCTTGGTGAGTGGCAGCCCCTGCCTTGGCATGGGACAATTGCTCAGCAAGATCCCCGCAGTTACGCTCAGAACTCTGGGAGTTGGAGGAGGAGGCGCGTGGTGCCGTGGCCTAGTGTGGTCAGCTGTCCACTCCGAAGGAGGCAGGGGTCTGAGCTTCCTCCGGGACGTGAGGGTGCAGGTGCAGGGCCCCTGTGTGTGGTCCGCCTGGCCTGGGAGTAGTTCTGGGGAGGAGACACAGCAGACAGTGTTTCCACTGTGTGTTGCCAGGAACCCAGGGTAGGACATCCGGCTGCTGCCGGGGCTGGAGGTTTCCTCGCAGCTCCCCTGGGCCCTCTCAGCCCTGCGGCCTGGCCTGCTGCTGAAGGACAGTGAGCTCTCGTTTACGCTGCCGAAGGGGCAGCACGTCCGGCAGTGCGGGCTTTCTGCGTCAAAACCCCTAGGCTGTTTGAGCAGCAGTCCCATGTCTGCTTCTTGTACTAAGGAAAGAATTAAGAGTGTGTGAAGAGGTTTTGTTAGGGAAGATTTGTTTTTTTTCATGTTCGCTGAAAATTGGGCTCCTAACTGTCTACCAGTAAGGGATTAGTTGAGCAAACTGAGCACCAGCCATAAGAGGACAGTGCAGCTGTGGGCATGTCGCTGCTGGCATCCGGGTTTCCTTGTGATGCGTGATTGGCGTAGCCTCGGCTGCCAGCTGCAGAAGGGTGATCCCTTCTCACTGGAGGTTGAGGGGAGTGGCATGGCTGCGTCAGAGGCCTGGCAGTTCTCTCACAGGGCAGCAGGGCCCACCTCTGCATTGTGGCAGGATGGCTGACTTTGAATTTTATTCTTTTGCTTTGGTATTTCCTGATTTTCTTTCTTTTTAAGAATTATTTTCTTTATTGGAAAGGCAGAGTTATGGAGAGAGAGGGAAAGACAGAGAGAGAGGTCTTTCATCTCCTAAATGGCTGCAATGGCTAGGACTGGGCCAGGCCGAAGCCGGGAGCTGGGAGCTTCTTCTAGAACTTTGATGTGGGTGCAGGGGCCCAGGCACTTGGGCCGTCTTCCACTGTTTTCCCAGGTGCATCAGCAGGAAGCTGGATGGGAAGTGGAGCAGCCGGGACTTGAAACAGTGACCACATGGGATGCCGGTGCTGCAGGTGGCAGCTTAACCTGCTACGCCACAATGCCGGCCCTCTGATTTTCTTTTTCTAAGAATAAGAAATTTGCTTTTGTAGAAATTATGTGAAGCCTCTAAAGATGTGCAGACCAAGTAACACTGGATGTTACGTCTCAGATGCTTCAGCCTGGGGCCGCCGTGTGCTAGAGGGACACAGCACCGCATTCTGGTGGCCGTCTCCCCCGGGTCGGAAGGTACACAGAGCAAGCCAGAGCAAACCAAGTCACACAGAAGTCGCTCCTACCATGAGCAAACTCCATAGCAATAGAGCTTTAGAAAGCTGTTACAACACACATTCTCCTTCAATCAGTATTGATTTTACTTAATGTGAGAAAAGAAAAGAAAAAAGAATTAAAATCTGTCATTGCTTCATGCTTAAGTACTTTTGGTTTACTTTGTCAGGAAAGGGGTAATTATTATGCCTTGAACTTGTATAATTGAAACTGAAAAAAAGACGTTGCTTGCTAAATAGTAACATTCTCCCATCTGTTCTGTTTTCAAAATATTTCTGAGTTTAATGCTTTGAACCTTTTATTTTCAGAGTTTATTCCTTGCATTTTTAGCTCAGGCATAAAGGAAGATAGGATTTCTACCATCAATATTTTGTTGTCCACAATGAAAACAAAGGTACGTGTTTGGTAAGCAGCATTTCTGTTACTCACTTCTCCTTGTCAGTGAAGAGCCCCTGGCGTCCTATGGGACTCTAGAGCCACGACACTGTCTGTGGGTTATGGTTGTGTGAGTTGAGCGGGAAGCCGTTTCTTACGCCCAGGCTTGCTCGGGGTGGTGAGCAAAGCCTGGGCCCGGGAGGCTGAAGACTGGCGGCTGCTTCCATCCCAGCAACAGCGATAAAAGCGCTGGTTGACGTTGCGCAGTTGCCCAGTGGGGTGACTGGGAGCTGTAAGTTACAAATACTTCTTCTTCCTTGTCACACCTAGCAAAATGTCATTTTCCATATTTCATAGAAACTTAAATTTTGCTGAAAGGGCCACTGACTTGAATACAGAAGCACCTGAAGTGATCAGTTAGAAACCTTCCTGCAGTAAAGTTGTTGGAAGTCCACCAGAAGCGTGTTTTCCTGTTCAGGGGACTTTTTTAAAGATTTATTTTATTTATTTGAAAGAGTTACAGAGAGAGGTAGAGACAGCTCTTCCATCTGCTGGTTCACTCCCCAGGTGGCCACAACGGAAGGAGCTGTGCCAATCCGAAGCCAGGAGCCAGGAGCTTTTTCCCGGCTCCCACGTGGGTGCAGGGGCCCAAGGACTTGGGCCATCTTCTACTGCTTTCCCAGGCCACAGCAGAGAGCTGGATCGGAAGAGAAGCAGCCGGGACTAGGACCGGCGCCCATATGGGATGCTGGCACCGCAGGTGGAGGATTAACCTACTGCGCCTCAGCACTGGCCCTAGGCTAATTTTTAAGTCGATAATTTTGTATGGCCTGCAAATGATGTTATATATATCCAGTGGCCTTTGGCAGAAAAAAAAGATTACCCACCCCCTGTTCTAAAGGAATATTTAATGATATGGGAAAAGCAGCTTCTACTGCATAAGGAGACACACAACCATATATAAATATAATCTAAGGTAATAAGAGATAAGCAGTGTATATATACATTTATATATGTATATGAACACCCACATACACACACACACACACACACACAGGAGACTGAAAAGAAATAGATCAAAATGGAACATGGATATCCTGAGCTTGGGAATGGGAATGTTGGTGGATTTTATATTTGTATTTTCCTTTTTTTTTTAATCAAGCTTTCTGCCGTTGTCACATGTTGAATTTATAGGGCTGAAAACACAATACATGTTATTTGAAGGGTAACTGAGTTTTATCATTGCTTTCAGGTAGTTCACAGTAAAAGTATCACAAAGACCCAGAAGGTGCATTTCTTTACCGCACAGCTGTTGAGCCACATAGCGTCTCTCTACGCCTGGAACGGGATTGTTGACGTAAGCCCGGAGAACACAGAGGTGGGTGTCGCTTCTGGCTGTCAGTGGGCCTCGGCTCTGGGGTGCGACCCCCACAGCTGAGAGACTCAGAAACCTTGACAGCACGCTGCACTTCCAGAAAAACCAGCGCCCTCCTCGTGTGGACCGTCTCTTTCGGCTTATGGTTATGTGGTCGTATTTTTCTCTGCTATGTGCAATATGATTTTTTTTTTTAAATTATAGCACTAAGATTTTTGTTCTGCTCTCTGGGTTATCATGAGTGCAATCTGTATTTGTTTTCCTTTTTATTAATGGGAAAACGACTGGTCCCTGTGGTCGAGTGAGCAACATCTTGTCTTCGCTGGGATGCCTGCGCATAGCTTTGAGCATCAGCCAGGCTCCCTCTTCCTCTCACCTTGCCAGACCCCTGCCCTCGTTCCTGTGTAAAGCGTTTGGAGTTTCAGGTTTGCTTTTAACTGTCTGGGGGGACCCACGTGGCCTCATCCAGCTGGACATGCATAATTTATTTTGTAACGGTTAATTCAAGTGCCAAATTAAAACAGTTGCTTTCACATTGACCCAAGGCCAGCGGGTGTTTTAATTTTCCTCCTTTTCGTTTTCCTTGGGGCGTTTCTGAACGTGGACTTGGCCAGAGCAGTGACGGCTCCGACTTCCTGTTAACTCTGATAATTTACCTCTTGGGGACTCGCCTGTGTCCTCTTGTTTTGAACATGTTTCTGTATGCTCCATTACCAGGAAGCCTCAGGGGCTTAATAAAAACACTCCCAAATGGGGGATTTTATTTGCAAGAACAAGAGAAATTAAGTCATTTTTAAGCTTTTAAAAATTCAGGTTTAAACGTGCTCCTCTTTAGTGTTCTTTTGCCCTGGTTGGTATATCTGTGTTTTGATTTTTTTTTTCCTCTGTGTCTTGGACTGACACCAAGTGCTTAATATGTTTTTGAAGTTGCCCATTTTTATTCTGGAGCTATTGCAAAGGGCTGGGATTCAGTCTTTTTTTCTTAACCCCTTCTAGATGTCTGCTGAGGAGGCGGGGAAGGCCATGGTGCGGGAGCTGGTGCACAGCTTCCTGCTGGATCTGTGTTGTTCCCTCAAGCATGGCATTAACTTCTATGATGCGTCTTTGGGCACCTCTGGCAGGTGAGTGGGACGTAGCGAGTGTGAACCCTGGGGGGTTCCTTACATGTCGGCACGTACTTGCCTTCCTAGTGGAAACCGAGCACACGGTGGAGTTGTAGTAGGTTACAGCCAGAGTGGTGGATGTTACCGGTGGGAGACCCAGAGAACCCGTGTGCATTCCACGCCACCCGGGCGGAGATGGCACGGGAGCAGTTTATTTAGGCCGCAGAGGACACGCTGCCTCGCCCAGGGAGGGGCTGCACCTGTCTGCTTCGAGTCAGTGGCGTGGACCGAGTCAGAAAGAGGTGACTGCACCAGCCTTCCTCTGACAGGTGCTGGCAGGATTTCAGAATTGTGCTCTTGCATTTGATTTCTTATTTCTTAATTAGGATAATGTTTTCATCAGCAGGGAGATCAAATCCAAATCTGATGGTTTTGATTATATTTAGACTTTTTCTTTATAGTCACATAATACAGGGATACTTCCAGAAGTCTGTGGGAAAATGGCGTTAAGAGGTACACTGAGGGGCTGGTGTTGTGGTGCCAGCATCCCATATGGGCGCCAGTTCATGTTCCTACTGTTCCACTTGCGGTCCCGCTAATGCCCCTGGGGAAACAGTGGAAGATGGCCCAAGTGCTTGAGTTCCTGACACCCACATGGGAGGTTCAGATGGAGTTCTAGACTCTTGGCTTTGGCCTGACCCAGTCCCAGCCATTGGAGCCATTTGGGGAGTGAGCCAGCGGACATGAACCAGTGGGTGGAAGATCTCTCTCTGTCTGTCTCTCCCTCTATCCCTCTGCCTTTCAAATAAATAAGTAAATAAATCTTAAAAAGGTGGTAAGCGTGGGGCAAGTGTTTAGCCTAGCACCTAAGATGTCAGTTGACGCCCACATCCCACGTTGGAGTAGCTGACTTTTGCACCCAGCCCTGGCTCCAGACTCCGGCTTCCTGCCAATGGAGACCTTGAGAGCAATGGTGCAAGTTCAGCTAACTCAGTCCCTGGCACCGCTGGGGAAAACCTGAATTGAGTTCTCAGCTCCTGGCTTCCGCTTGGTCCAAGCCCTGCCATCGTAGGCATTTGGGAGTGAACCAGCAGGTGGGAGCTTGCTCTTCTCTGTTTCTGTCTGTCTCACTCCCTCTCACTTTATCTCTCTTACTTTCTCTGTCAAATAAACTAAAAAAAATTTTTAGGTTTATTTTGATGCAAAAAAATGTTTGAAATCCATGTGTAGCTTTTTCATAATACATATTTTCCATGAAGTCTTTGAAGACCCCTGTACACATTGTTATATTTTTTGATCTCCAAAGTAGACTGCTGGTCCTCAATCTCTTTAATTAATGGATGTTTTTCTGATCGTTGTGAATGGCTTATTTCTTGCCCCGTGACTGCATAGCATTATTAGAAGGATTGAGTTGCGTGTAGTTGGGTTTACTTCCGATTTCGGCTGGTCAGGAAACCACTGGTTTGCCCCGGTGGGGAGAATCTGTGCCTGTGTGTAACTTTGCATGTAACCGAGATGGCCAGGACTCCTCTCGGCCCACCATTTCTGTTTGTGTTTCTCTTTTCTCTCATCTGTAAGAATGGACTCTCTCCTGCTGAAAGGTTCACAGCAGCCTTTCGTAGTCCAGCGCACTCTAATACTGTACTTAAAACACAAGCATCTCCCCAACCCCTCCCTACTTTTAAGGCGCTTTTTCCCTCCTGACTTGCCCCATGACATACATGGTCACGGGATGAGTTACTGAAGCACCGTGTCGTTGTGGGCGCTGTTGGGAGTGTGCCGTGGAGGTTTGTGTGTTTTGTGAAACCATGGGCGAAGGCAAATGTTTGTGCTTAGGGGAGAGGAAGTGAATTGTGTTCGTGGGCAGAGTTCAGAAGTGCTGAGACAACTGAAATCCAGGGCTCCCCAGTGTCCTGTGACTCCCTTGCGTTCAGCCCCACGTCGTCACTGCAGGGAGCCCTTCCCAGCAATCCTTTTGAAGTAGCGCCTTGCTGTCGCTGTCCTGCTGCCTGGCCCGCGCTCCTGACCGCCGTCACCACCTTGCGTGCTTGTTGCTCTGCTGGCTATTTTTGCTCCCAGAGCGTGAAGCAGGTGTTGATGGGAGGCCGATGCTGCAGTGTAGGGCAGGGCTTGGCAGACTTTTTCTATAAAGCACCATCTGGTACTTCAGGCGCGGTGCTGACCCAGTCTCTGTTGGTACTCAGTTGTGCACTGTAGCACCAAAGAGGCCTCGGGGGTCAGCAGATGCTCGGGACCAGCATCTGGCACAGTGGATGAAGCCGCTGCTCGCAGCCCCAGCTTCCCGCATCAGGATGCGACTGGAGCCCCGCTCGCTCCACTTCTGACCCAGCTCCCTGCTGATGTCCCTGGGAAGGCAGTGGAAGATGGCTCAGCATGTGGGAGACCAGGAAGGAGTTCCTGGCTCCTGGCTGGCCCAGACTGGACTATTGCAACCTCTCTGGGGAGTGAACCAGTGGGTAGTCATCTTCTTTGTCCCTCTCTCTGTTGGTCTGCCTGACAAATAAACGAATAAATCTTAATCACACAAAATGAAACAGCTGGATTCCAGTAAGATGCTGTTTACAAAGCTAGGCGGTGGGTGTAGCGTGGAGGTGAAGAGAGCAGATAACGCGAGGCGGACGGTGGGCTTCAGTCCTAAGTGTGCGCCCTTGGGCAGGTTACAAACCTCTGCCTCCTCTGTAAAGGAGAGAAAAGTCGCGCCAGCCACGGAGAGGTGGGGGTGCTGCGTGCCGTGAGCAGCATCTGGCACACGGCCGTCGGTGCTGTTGGTTTATTACGTTGCTGTTGATGGAATCGGGTGTGGGTGCAGTATTTTTAGCACTCCGTAGATTTCACATTCTGTTCATCTGAGGTACAAACTGCCTTTGCTTGGTTCATGAAAAGTTCACATTAGGATTTTTATGCCATTTTTTAAAGGATAGTTTTTTGTTCAAAATTATGCTCTAATTCTTTTTTGAAAAAAAAAATTTATTGTTTGATTGCGTAGAGCTGTGCTATGGCGTGGTCGTTCCACTCGGTTTCTAAGGGACATAGACGCTGCGGATCCCAGAAACCATCAGCACGGCATGCGTGGGAGGCCGATTCTGCCTTCCCGGAGTCCAGGGACAGGAGGCAGGCCCCTGTTCCTAGACGGCCTCAGGGTGGGGGAACCCAGCGTCTGTGGTTTTGGCTGAGATCCCAGGATCATTGGTCGCCTATTGTAGGTGTCACGTGTGCAGGTCTTCCTGAGGTTTCCCACCTCTTGCATTAATCATTGTGTTGGTCAGGGTTTTGTTGTTATAAGAAAGTACCTGAGAAAAGCTAGTTGGGAAGGAAGAAGTTGACTTTAACTCAGGCTTTTGGAGATTTGCAGTCCATCGCTCTGGCCTCTGGTGAGGGTAGCAGTGGTGAGGTGGAGCGCTTGGACAGAGAAAGGGTCGTGGGCGAGCCAGGGAGCAGGGCAGAGCTGCCTTCTGTGGGCCTGGTGGCTTCCGTGATCCGAGGACCTCCCTCTAGGCCCACCTCCCAAACTCTGTAATTAGATTAAACGTCTGCCCCCTTAGTGCCACAGTTTAAGACCTTGAGGGGGCTGGTGCTGTGGCATAGTGGGTAAGGTCACCGCCTGCAAAGCGAGCATCCCATATGGATGCTGGTTCGAGTCCCGGCTGCTGCATTTCTGATCCAGCTCTCTGCTGTGGCCTAGGAAAGCAGTGGAAGATGACCCAAGTCCTTGGGCCACTGCCCCCGCGTGGGAGACCTGGAGGAAGCTCCTGGCTCCTGGCTTCGGGTCAGCGCAGCTGTGGCCATTGCGGTCAACTGGGGAGTGAGCCAGCAGATGGAAGACCTCTCTCTCTCTCTCTCTGCCTATGCCTATGCCTATGCCTATGCCTCTCCTTCTCTGTAACTCTGACTTTCAAATAAAATTTTTTTTAAAGACTTTGGGGCGTGAACACTGTTAGTTTCCGAGCTGTGTGCTGTTCAAGCCAGGGCAGTTGTCTACTCATCCTTTTGAAGTCTGTTTGCCTACTTGTTTTTCTACAGTAGGTTTTTTTTCTTGTACTCACTTCTTTCAGCTGCTGAGCGGAGGTGTAGGAATTTGAAATAAGCTGGGAACAAAGAGAGCAGAAGGCCTTGTGCCGTCCTGGCTGTTTCAGAAATAACTTTACAACATTGGGGATCCATGTGCCGATCTCTTGAGCATTTCATATTTAAAAAAGAACTATCCATTCCAAAGAAAAATGCCGTATTTGTATGTTTTGTCCTCACATACATGTTCGTATTTTTTCATGTGTTTGAGGAAAGAGGTCAGTGAGCTCTCAGGAGTGCATTCTCTCTGCCGGTTTTGCCCCTTTAGAGCAGCCTGGGTGTCCCGTAGGTGGCTGGGGGGGGGGGGGGGGGGCAGGGAGAATGGTTTTCTTCCCCTTCTTTGGAAGTCAAGTTGAACTCCAGGGAAAGAAGGAGGAAAGAGCAGACGGGACTCAAAGTGGAGACTGTTTTTCAGCCACAGAAGAAGGGGACAGGAATTCAGGCCTCCCTGTCAGAGCCATGGAACCCCTGCCTGTGCCCAGCGGGACATGCCTGCTCTGCCCCGGGGCCGTTCCAGGAGCTACGGTGTTAGCGTGAGATCTCGGTGCTTTTTTTTTTTTTCTTTTTAAGATCTGTTTATTTATTTGAAAGGCAGAGTTACAGAGAGGAGAGGCAGAGAGAGAGAGAGAGAGAGAGAGAGAGGAGTCTTCCTCCCAAAATGGCCACAATGGCCGGAGCTGCGCTGATGCGAAGCCAGGAGCCAGGAGTGTCTTCTGGGTCTCCCACGCGGGTGCAGGGGCCCAAGGCCAGCCTTGGGCCATCTTCTACTGCTTTCCCAGGCCATAGCAGAGAGCTGGATCAGAAGTGGAGCAGCCGGGACTCGAACCGGTGTCCATATGGGATGCCGGCACTGCAGGCAGCAGCCTTCCCTGCTGACCCTCCCTCTCCCCTTTCTCCAACAGAGGAGGAAACCTGACCCTCCTGCACTTCCTGCTGGGATTGAAAACCGCCGTGGACGACGAGCTGGTGGCCGAGCTGGTGGTGAACATCCTCCGAGTGTGCCCGGACTTGCTGAACAAGTACTTCAAGGAAGTGACGTTCTCCTTCCTGCCCAGAGTGAAGGCCACGTGGCAGAACAACATCAAACTCCTGAACAAGGTCGTGCTCGGGCTTCGCCTGCGAGCCGGGCGGGGCCGCCGGGCGCTCTGGCCCAGTAAACCCTAGGAAGGCCTTCTTTGGGGACCAAGAGCGTATTTTTGATCATATAAATTTGCAGTCCTCATCTTCCAAGTATAGTGTTGCTTTTCATTGAGCTGAATTTTGAGTTGTTTTTTTTCCTTTTGAATCTGTGGAACAATTTATCTTTGAAACTTTTAAAACTTTGCTTAGAGTAAAAATCTTACTGAATCTCAGTGCACGTAGGCCAGAATTAGAGAAATGTGTGAATTGTGGGACAGTTCTTAAAGACTGCAGTTTTGAAAGCTTGAAATCATCTGTGAGATGTTGTTGGTCTGCTGGTTAATTTAAGTGGGTTTTTGTCAGTGTTTGTTTGTTTGTTTGTTTTAACATTTCTGTCTGTTTGAAAGTCAGAGTTACAGAGAGAGAGAGACAGAGATCTTCTATCCCCTGGGCTCACTGCCCCATGGCCTCAATGGTCAGGACTGAGCCAGGAGCTTCATCCAAGTCTCCCATGTGGGTACAGGGGCCCAGGCACTTGGGTCATCTTCCTGTGCTTTCCCAGGCACATTAGCAGGGGGCTGTGCTGGAAGTGGAACAGCCGAGACTCAAACCTGCACCCATATGGGATGCCAGCATTGCCAGCGGCTGCTAAACCTTCTGTGCCACAGTGCAGGCCTCTGTCAGTTTCCTTTGGGCCACAGACGTCAAACTCCCCTGTCTGCCTGGGGGCGCTCACTGTATGTTCTCTGGCAGTGATGCCGGGCTCTGTTGAGCGCGCTCTCTGCCTGATGCTGAGATACCTGAGCTTGTTAGGCCTCAAGCTGGGCCTGGCCGTCTGTGAAGCGAGCTTTGATCCCGAGTCTCGAAGGTCTCCTCGAGGGCCACTGTGTGCACTTCCCTCATGTGTCCTGGGGCGGGAACACACTTTGCCCCTCACTGGGGGGCACGTAGCCCTGCGGCCAGCATCCCTGTTGGAAGCTGCTTTGGATACTGCCCTCCTGGGTGCAGGCCACGGGCAAGTGTGTGCTCCCGTAGGCCCAGGTGCAGCCCTGCTGTTTTCTAGGTCTGTAGTCCTAAGGAAGTTGTCTGACTTCATTAACACCCGATTTTGTCATCCACACACACGTTTTATTTTTACTAGAAAGTCTCCCACACACAGCTTTTCAGAGGCATTGTGAGCCGTCAGCCGCCTGACCTGGGTGTCCGTGGCTGGTAAGCAGGGCTGTTTGAGTTCCAGCGGTGAACTGTTTGCCATTAGAGGTTTTTAGTGGCTCCCTAGACCACAGGCCAAGCTCTGCTTTGGAGGTCCCTGGCTTGTCTTTAACAAGTGGATTTGGAGGTTGATCTTGGGGTCCCACGCCTTGCAGCGAGTCATACCTTGTTACTATGATTCCTTGCTGCAGGGGCTTTATTGTCTGGTGCTTACAAAGAGCCTCAGGCCTGAATCTTGTGTCCAGCACCAACTGGATCTCTTCTGCTCTCTCTAGATCTACGAGGCCCAGCCGGAGATTTCCCGGGCGTTTCAGACCCGAGAGTTTATCCCCTTGCCGCGGCTCCTGGCCATGGTGATGGTGACCACTGTGCCCCTGGTCTGCAACAAGATCATGTTCACCCAAGCATTAAATGTAAGGCCAGGCAATTGCCCCCCTTCTAGAATGTTCTCCCGCTAAACCTTCTGGCTGTGCTGCATGGTTGGTCTGCAAATACCAACGTGGATGTATTTGGGTTTTGTCAGTGAGCCTCTGAGGCTTCAGGACAGGGCTTTCATTTGCAATGGTCCCATGAGTGACAGGTCCCCCTGCCTGGGGAGAGGACATCGGAGTGGGGACCCGTTCCCTGTAGGGGGCGACAGATTCTGCATCCTTGTCCCTGCTCTGTCCCATGACCCGGACTTCTGAAGCCCTGCACACCTGCCTGGGGCTGCCCTAGGGTGGGAGAGGTTGGACTGAGAGGAGCGAAAGTTCTTGCCAGCATCTCATTCATTCATTTAGGGCAGGGCTGCACTGGGAGGGCAGTGTGAAGATTTCTGGGGAGCATTTGCTTTGAGGACCAGCTATTTTCAGGCATTTGGACAAAATATATTCATAGAAAAATTGATGGTTCCACTTCATGTTGTTATTTTCTATATTGTACAGTCCTCCAAGTCCCATAGAAGCTGTATTCTTTCACCACAGGGCCCAGGTGAATGACCTCCTGGGTCCTGCCAGCCCCTCCTGAGCCCGGGTTGCCTACGACTTACCTGGAGGATGCTGGGTATTCAGAGTGACATCTCACTTGTTGTGTGATGGGGCGGACCAGAGTGGGCCGGGGCGAGTGACACAGGCACATGTTGGCCCCAGTGGTGATGGATGACAGTCACTGTAGAGTGGCCCAGACCCCTGAGATTGTGTGCTGGGACTGACTGGTGTTTTTTGACTTGAATGTGGCAGTAGAGAGAGGGAGACCTGTGGACCAGGCGAGAGGGCCTTTTGTTCTGTTTGCCGAATGATCCCACACAAACCTAGAGCGCACTTAGCGTGCCCCTCTGCTTCCTGGGAGACATTACTGCTCCGTGATGGGAAGGCCCCTGTTTGTTGCACCTCCTGTGGGCTGCTTCTGTGCACCCTCCACCTGCCCCAGCTTAGTCCTGGTGGGCTGGGAGGTGAAAGGCTGGCCCTCGCCTCCTCTCAGTGCTGTCTCAGGGTGGAGGGGGGCCCCAAGCAGCGACCTGTGCCCCCAGGCAAAGTGGCCCAGGGAGTGAGAGAGGATCCAGCCCTCTCCCTGTGGCTGCTGGCATTTGGTGGTGGCCCAGGGCTCGTGGGCCACAGCCATGCCCTTCCCAGGAGCCAACACGGTGCTTTCGTACTTGTGAGACCCAGGGACACAGGCCTACATGCTGTTTAATTTTTAATTCCTTGCAGTATTGTCTAAAAACTCTTAACAGCATGTATTTTTAGAGTGAGAAAGAAGCTTATTTTGGAAATGGGAAATAAGGTATTTGGAAGCAGGGGCCCAGGCTGTTTTTGGGTGTCGCGAGCCCTGTGGGTATTCTACCGGCATGTTGTTTGGGCCCCGCCTTCCCAGTGGTTCTGAGCCGGGAGCCGTTAGTGGCTTAGGGTATTCAGTGCAGCGTGTGCATAAGGTGAATCCAGGGCTGGTGGGAATGCTGGGGCACTGGGCTGTGGCGGGTGTGAAACAAAGTCCGTGGGAGGCCTGTTTGGTTCTCTCTGTGAATCTCCAGCCTCCCACCTCAGGCTTCCTTATTGTGCCCCCAGGGCCTTGTGAAGATACGGATTATACATGCATTGATCCAGGCGGGGGCCGGGAGAGGCCTTCGCTGCACTCGGCCAGGGCGGGGTTCTGTCCTCCTTTTGGTAACAGCACAGGTCTTTGGGCCTCACTCAGCTCTGCGTCCGGTGAGGACTCAAAGCCCTCCTGGCTGCAGTGAATGGCAGCAGGAGGCGGAGTGTGGGGGCTGCTGGCTGTCCGAGCCCCCGGCTGGTTTCCCACCGCAGGCCCTGATGCGTTTGCCTCGGTGCCAGGGTGTGTTCTGGGCACGTCTTGCTATGGCAGGTGATGTGCGTTAGCTGAGTGGCTGTCAGAGAAGGCTCACCGATGAGCCGATCGCAAAAACCACCGTTGGACTCTGCCTTTAGCAGTTGCTCTCCCAGCACCTGCTGAGGTCAGACCTGCAGGCTGTCTGCGAGGGGTGGGGGGCAGCCCAGGTCACCTCATCTGATGTAGAGACAGCATCTTGGAGAGATCCAAGAAGGAGCAAGAGCCAGCCCTGCCCAGGGCCGGGGGAGTCCACGTGCACTGTGCAGCTGGAGACATGTGCATTTCATCCTCTTTCTCCCCAGTTGGACAGCAAATCTGTGAAGCACACGGCTTTATCCCTTGTTTCTGTCATTTTGAAAAGAGCATTAAAAACCATTGACCACTGCCTGGACAAAGAGGCGTGGCAGGAGCCAGGCGTGTACACGGCCACAATGATGGATGAGTTTGTGCGGCTCTTCAGAGAGGCCCTGAGCAAGGTAGGTACAGGTCCAGGGTTGGGCTGGCCCTGCACACCTCCCTGCAGACCACAACAGGGCAAAGCCATCTGCGGAGCAGAGTGCGGGCCAGGTGTGTCCTCCAGCAGCTTGGGTGCTGAGGGCCCACTGGTGAAACCCGTGATTCTGGTCAGGCATGAGGTCACACTTAGGGCGCAGTCCGGGAATCCTGTGCAGAGGGAGAAGTCATGTGACCCACTTGCTCTCCTGTGGCAGCAGTAGTGGGGCCATGGCTCTTGGGGACCCTGTGGCCCCTCGCCCTCTACTGCGAACACTGATGGTCCCATGGCCCTGGGGGTGGGGGTGGCTTGGGGAGGCCGTCTTGCTCCCTCCCATGATTGACTCTGCTCATGAGGGAGGCCAGGCGCTTGCAGATTGTCCGGCTGCTCTGACAGCCCCGTGGGCACGTGGACCAGTGTCTTGAGCCCGGGAGTGGTCTTAAACGGGTCGTCCTCACTAGCACTCTCGTGTTCTCACCGCATCCTTGCCGGTGTAGTTTTAGGAGGGATGGATACCTGGGAACACAGCGTAAGAGGGGTGTGCACCTGCTCTCCCCCAGCCTTTCTCCTACACTCACGCTCCCTTACACACTCAGATACCTACACCTCCCCCTCTGTGTTTTTGCTTATGCTCAGCTCATTTGTTTCTCTTCATTGTTAATGTGACAGATTTTTTTTGCTTCTTTTTCCCTTTTAGATCTTGCCAGACCTGAACACTATTGTGTGGGTCTGGCAGTCCCTGAAAAAACAAGAGACAAAACAGGATGACCAGAAGGGGAAGAGAGCGGGTGACAAGGCTGTGGCGGCCCGTGAGGCTCAGTGCGGTGAGGGTCTGGGGGCCGGAGCTGACCTGGGGGCTGTGAGGCGCATCAGTGTGGTGAGGGCCTAGAGGCTGGAGCTGACCTGGGGCCGTGAGGCGCATCAGTGTGGTGAGGGTCTGGGGGCCGGAGCTGACCTGGGGCCGTGAGGCTCATCTCTGTGGTGAGGGTCTGGGGGCCGGAGCTGACGGGCAGCCCGGGGTGGCTGCCATCTAGAGGGTCCTCTGACCCTCCTGTTCCAAGGCCCCTCTGGCCATCCTTTTTAGCTGAGGGAAGACAATTGGAGTAGACCTGCAGATGGAGTGTTAATACGCTAAGGGCTGTGCCCGGGCCTTCTGCCGGGCAGTGTTTCCTGTGACACAGGCTGCCTGGTGCCCTGGCCTTTCAGTGGGGGGTGGGGGTGGGGTGGGGGCGTGGCGCTCTTGTTCTGCAGATAGGTGGGCTACACAGCCTCCCAGGGGTAAAATGTGTTGGCTAAGACCTTATTGGCTGGGCGATGGGCTCTGTCCCTATAGATGCATCACAGTTAACCTGATCACAGCCCTGCCAGGGGAGGCCCGGGTATGTGTCCCCATTGCCCAAAAGCACAGGAGACAGAGTAACCTTAGCCTGTCCACGGCCTTCACAGGGAGACAGGGCGTGTACGCAGGCTCCTTGAACAGTCTCCATCTTCTTGCCACATTGGCTCCCTCCTCTGGCTCTTGGGGGAAATCTGTCGCAGCCCCAGTGCTGTTGGTGATCGGGGGCATAGGGCACGTGTGTCTAACTCGAGCCGTGTGTTTTGACGCAGACGATGCGGAAACCATTCTCTTGAAAGCCGTCCTGCTCCAGGTCATCTGCCTCTACCAGAAGGTGGTGCCCCACATGGTCACTCAGTACAACTTTGACTTCAGCAAGCTCCTGAAAGGTGGGTGTCGGGGGACAGCCGGCCAGCTGGGGAGGACCCGAGCAGAGTCCCCTGGGCCACGGAGCAGGGAAATGGCAGGCAGGTGGCCTGCGTGCGTGTCGCCCAGCCTGCTGAATTTTGTTTGCACCAGCATGGACTTCTTGAGTCGATGTCAGATGAACACTTAACAGCAGTGAGGGTGGAGAAGGGCGAAGCTGGCTGCCTGGTGATTGCTGGGCAGTCCACAAGTCAGACCACACGGAGCCGATTCTCCAGCGGCTTCTCAAGGGAGCAGGCGTACGGGGGTTGGGGGGGCTTGCCGAGGCAGGAGCCTTGTCTAAGGGACGGCTCGTCCATGCAAGAGCAGTTTTGATGTGGCTGCCCCGTGTTCCATCCCAGGGAGTCAGGTTCAAATGGCATTTTGTAAGGGTCACACACTTGTCCCCCATGGCCTGTGGTCCGCTTTGCCCAGTAGGGTCAGCTTTGTAACAGAGCCTCCGGGAGAAGACCTACAGACCTGTCATCCTTGGAATCTGTATGAGCCTTCAAACAACCCTTTGCAAAAGCTGTAATTAAATATGTAACCACCCCAAAGGTGAAAGAGCCTCCTTGCTGAGGGAATATAGGATTTACTAGGATGTAACCATTCAGTATATAGTAGCTGTGTCCTTCCAAGCAAAGGAGAAACCCGGAGCCCAGGCCAGAGCTTAGAGACCCAGCCTCAGGCTCTTGCCCTCTGGAGAGCAAGGCCCGTGCCGCACATGAGGGATGATGTGAGCGGAAGGCCACACTTGGGGGCAGTGTGGGGTGGTGGTTCCAGTGGGTGCATGGGGTAAGCCTGGGCTGGGTGGCAGGGGGGTGCTGTTGTAGGCAAGTGGAATTCTGGGATAGAGCTGGGGAGAGAAGCATCTGTCAGTGGAGTGTGCCTGGGCACAGCCTCCAGGACAGTGACTGCAGGACCCAGGGAGCGGGAGCCCACGTGCCCCCCTGTCTTTCTTGATTTCCTTATCTGGTTGCTGGGCCTCTGCTTCTGCCTGACTGTTTCTTCCCTCCGTAGGGATCATCTCCGAGCAGGGTCTTGGGGAGGAGGCGCCCCCCATTCTGCAGCACCACATGCTGAAGGTGGCCCTGGAGCTGCCTGCCAACAAGTTTCTGTGGCTGAAGGCACAGGTAGGAAGCACACAGCCCCGTCTCCTGCCAGCTCACAGGCTGGGCTTCTCGGCTTCCTGGCCGTGCTGGGGGAGCGATGGAAGAAGGTAACGGCTCTCCATGTAGAGAGCCCTCCCTGAGCAGAGCAGGCCCCAGAACCCTCTGCTGGCCTGCTTGGGAATCTGCTTTTGGAAGACAGATGCCTAACCTGTCATTCTTGGAAACGTGCTGTCGCTGGCTGGGGCGGGTTTTCACCTGTTGATCTTGACTGTTTTACATTTTTGAGTCACTTTAAAACCTTTTTGGAAATAAACACATGTTCCTGCCCCTTCATCCTCATCCTGGAAGAATGACGGAGTTGGGGACAGGCACGAGCCTGCTGAGTGCTGGGGACAGTGGGAGAATCAGTGCACACCACTACAACGTCCGCCTTCAGGGACGTCGTCCAGGGCTTTCTGGGGAACCATAAAGGGGTGCTCAGGATGCAGCAGTTTGATAACGCAGATGCGCTGTCCTTCTGTGCAAAGGGGGAATTGGCTGAGCACCATTAAGCTGGTCTAGGTGTGTGTCTCCATAGCTCAGACGATGTTTTTAATGACTTGGGTTTTATGTACAGTTTTATGGAGAACCAGTGATGTGGAAATGGACATTGGCACTTTTACCTGTGGCATATCCAGAAAGGTGGAGAGCGTTGTGGCCCTAACTGACACCCGGCTGCAGCGTGTGCCTCTGTGGCTACTCCACGCACCTCACTAAAGACAGGGCACAGGGCCACGGAGTGGTCAGGGGACCTCCCTAAGGTCCTAACCATGTGTGGTAGGCCTTGCTCTCAGCCTTCCCACCTCTGAGGTCACGGCCCCCAGCCCCGGACAGGTGACAAGTGGGTGCTGCCGCTGACTGGCTTTCACTGTGGCTGAACTGGGCCAGTGGATCTTGGTGATCTCACTGGAAGGTGAACAGAGGCCTCTGACTTTGACAGAGCTGGTGTTGAGACGTGTATTTCCAGTGCCCCACCTTTTACAAGGTCATGACCAAAAGTTCATAAAAACCTCCCAGGACTTTTCTGAAGTACCCGCATATAAGGATCTGCGGGGCTAAGCCAACTCCAGTGCTGACAATGTTTGGGGTCATCCTCTGGCAGGGGCCGCAGCACATCACACAGACACAGTGGAGTTTACACCTGGGATCTGGGGCTGTGTGGACTTCTGAGCCTTTGTGGAGGATACGTTATGTACAAGTAAATGGTTACTACATCTCTGGCATCCTGCTTCAGTACAAGCAGTACGCCTTTGGTGGAGTCACACACCCCTGGGGCCGCTCCCCACCGCCCAGCACCAGGACGCCCTGGGCTGGGGACTCCGTTTGCACGTACGTGAAAATAGGCTCACAGCTGTACCCACCTCCTAGGGTTGTTGGGAGGAGTGAGTGAGTGAGAATGTATCAAGACCCTGGGATGGCACCGACATATGGAAGGCATTGCCTATGCTGTTGCAGTTCTGTTTTTCCTACAACTGATGTTTTGGGGTTGTGAGTGAGTTTCTGAACTTCTGAGGTTACCTGCGTGTAAAATCACCAGAGTCTCGCTGAGTTCTAATTAAAATGAGAGGAGTGGGAGGACCTGGCAGCATCCTGGGCAGGGAGTCATCTGTGTGCTTAGCAAGTAATGGCCTGTGTTATTTTACATTCTGTGGTTCCATATGTAGTTACATGCATTAAAAATATATCCGATCGCTTGCGCTCTAGGAAGGCCCAGACACAGAAAGTGTGGCGGAGCGATCCGTGTTCTACCTGCTGATGAAGATGTTTGTGACCAGTAGCCACTTGCAGCTGAAGTCGTCGACCCAGCTTCTGATCATGAAGGTGAGCGGTTCCCCATTTCTAACCCTGGAGAGTGCTTTGCATGGGTCTTCCGTGCAGGGGTGCTTCGTGAACAGTCGTCGGAGTCAGGAACAGAGGCTTGATGGCAGCTTTAATGTGTCGCGTCTTGAGCGTCGCTGCATTTCTGAGAGGCAGCGTGGTAAAGCGGACGAAACATGGGCCTCGAAGTCCGACTCCTAGATCCCAGTCCTGATTCTACAGGGGTGCTTCAAGAGGTTTGGGGAGAATGAATTCGAAGATAAGTTTATTTTGGTGCAAAAAGTTTTGAAATCCATTCATAATTTTTTCATACTGCTCACTTTCCACGGAGTTTTGACGCACCCTCTGACTTCCGAGGTGGCCGTGGACGGTGCACCTCGCCTCTCTGAGCGGCCCCTGTGGTGGCAGGGCCTGATGCGGCCATTAGGTTGGGGAGAGGGAGTGTGTGGGAGGGGAGCTTACCCCAGACATGGTCGGCTCAGTGCTTGCTCCGTGTCTGCTCTCTGGGGAGCTGTCCGACAGGCCAGGCCTCCTCCCTTGTCCCCAGTGTCTTGGCCCTCTCCTTAGGGAGACCTCGTCCCTCTCTTACTCTGCACTCGGTTCTCCGGGCTGTCGCAGGAAGAACTCAGGTCCCATTTCAGACCCCAGGAAGGCTAGAGGGAGGCTGCAGAACCCGCAGTCACTATGTGTAGGGGGTGAGGATTTGGCCTTTCACCGTCGTTAAACTTGCTGTACTTGAACCTCGCCGTCTGAGCTGCCTGACGGTGGTGCTGAGTGCTTGCTTCTGCAGGCTGCCCTTGCCTCCCAGGCAGCGCAGGTGTGAACCTGACCCCGGCACTGCGAGTAGGTGCAGTTGGTGTGCTGAGGTTTTGCTTTGGTGCACACTCTTGTGGGGCTCTGCTGTGAGGCCAGGCGCTTAGACCTCAGGGCTGTGTCATCAGGCCATGCAGGATGTCATTTAGCCCCCTCGCAGATCCAGGTCCTGCCTCAGGACAGGTCGTGCTCTGTGGGAAATGAAAATGCAGCCTTTAGAGGAAGGGTCTGGACCACCTTCTCCCGTTTAGCGCCCCTGGTGCTGGCGCGTCGTGAAGCGGCCTCAGCTGCCCATGAGGCGGCTTCTCTGCCGACCTTCCCCTGTCTGCTTGCTGACAGATCCTGCGGGACACAGGGGTGTTTGAGCACACCTGGAGGGAGCTGGAGCTCTGGCTGGAGCATTTGGACAACACGGCGGAAGAGCGCAGAGAGGCCGTGATTCAGTTTCTGGAACGCGTAAGCCGGTGTTCCCGCCTCCAGGAGCAGGGTGGGAGATAACCACGACAGGTCGGCCTCCTCCTCGTCCAGGCGTGGTGGTGGCTGTGCCCCAGGCCGCTGCGTCCTGGTGCCCTGGTTCCTGCCGAGACCTCCGGATCTACTTGGCTTTGGAATCTCTGCACTAGGATCCTAGGGCTGCACCGTTTCATTTCCTTGGGGAGTTTGCTTTTGCACAGGGCATGCATTAAAAACACTAAATACGCTGAGAGAGTGTGGAAAGCAGCGGTATACTCAAGGGAGATAGATTGTTTTTTAAATGCCACGATAGGGCCGGCGCCGCGGCTCACTAGGCTAATCCTCCGCCTAGCGGCGCCGGCACACCGGGTTCTAGTCCCGGTCGGGGCGCCGGATTCTGTCCCGGTTGCCCCTCTTCCAGGCCAGCCCTCTGCTGTGGCCAGGGAGTGCAGTGGAGGATGGCCCAAGTGCTTGGGCCCTGCACCCCATGGGAGACCAGGAAAAGCACCTGGCTCCTGGCTCCTGCCATCGGATCAGCGCGGTGCGCCGGCCGCAGCGCGCCGGCCGCGGCGGCCATTGGAGGGTGAACCAACGGCAAGGGAAGACCTTTCTCTCTGTCTCTCTCTCTCACTGTCCACTCTGCCTGTCAAAAAAAAAAAAAAAAAAAAAAATGCCACGATAGAAAATTTTTAAAAAGACAGCGTTGCAGTCGAATTATTGTTCTTGTTAAGCACTGTTCACGTTAGAACTTCCCGTGGTGTTGACCGGTGCCCTTTCTTTTTGTTTCGCCTGTGGCCATCTGACCGTCTTTCACCTGGCTCGCTCCTGCTCAGGTCTTGTTGACTTTGGTGGCAAATCCGTATTCCTACACAGACAAAGCATCTGACTTTGTCCAAGAAGCCAGCACGCTGCAGGCCACCATGACGAAGCAAGACGCCGACGACGTCAGCATCCCTGTCTCCCACATCGATGGTAGGTGCACCTCCCTCTTGTGCCGGGAACCTGCAGATGAAGCCACGGTGGCATGGAGGAAGCGAACTGCAGCTGTCCCGTGCCTGTGCATCAAGGATCAGCCTGCTGTGGAAGTGAAACCCGCCTTATCTGCTCACGGGGCGGGAAATATGAACAGAACCTGCGGGATTTTCATTCGTGCAGGTTCTACGTGCCAGGTGCCGTCCTAAGTTACCAACACGCTAGGGGACCAGGATGGTCATGTTGTTCTATGAACAGATAAGGCAGGCGAGGCACAGGGCAGTTGAGTAACTTGCTCAAGCTCACATAGCTGTATAGCAGAGTCAGGATTTGAACCCAGGCTCTGTGGCCCTTGTCTGGGCTTTAACTCTCACGCCATTTTGCCTCTCAGACTTTGGCTTGTTTGCCTGAATCTCCAGTTTAAAGGTTCCTCAGGCTGCTTGTGTGACTTGAGGAAAGGTGTGGCTGTCATCAGCCCAGCTGAATGAGCTGTGTTTTGTCAAACGCAGTGTCTCCGCCTGTTTAAGATCCGACTGTATTGTTATGTATTCTCCCAGGAGAGTTGAGGTTTTGTTTTTTCTGTGTTTGCGAACAGTCTCTTGCTTCTGGAACCCTGGAGGGTTATTGGCAATGGCTCTGCCTCACCTGGGTCCCTGCTCTGTGTCTCAGATGTTCTCGACATGGTGGACGTCCTGGTGGAGGGCAGCGAAGGCTTGGATGAAGAAATAGGGTTCCTGTTAAACGAAGACATGATCCTGCTCACTTTTCCGTTCAGCGCGGTGGTTCCCGCAGCCCTGGAAGCCAGGAATAAGCTGCTCCTTGGGCAGGAGAATGAAGCAGGTACGTGGACTCAGGCTGCTCCGGCTGCGTCAGGCCAGAGGCTCCAGAGGAAACAGTCGCTGAGGACGGAAGGCAGCAAGTGTGTAGTCCACCTGGGCGCAGCCGCCCGGCGAGCATGGGCTGGGTGGGCAGTAGCCGTGACGCTGGTGTTGTCTCGGGATTTATTCTGGGTAACTTGATGCTAACGGTGAAGCCCTCATTCTGCGGGGTCTTCCAGGCAACTTAGGCCCAGCAAGTGCTCCCAGATCAGCGTAGTGTAGTCTGGGGAGCTCAGGCTTGGCTGCAGTACCAGGTGAGCCCCAGTGCATCCATGGTTTGATGTGGAAAGTTGTCTTCAAAGTCTAGAATGGGCGAGCTTGCTCTTCTGTGGGCTGTCCTGCGGGAGTCAGCTCTGTAACTCTGCCATCTCAGCATGTGGCTTCAGGATCCCTGGGGAAGGGGAAGAGAGAGGGGGCGGGCAGGCAGGGGCTGTCTCGGCCTACAAGTGGCTGAAGTGGCATGTGGTCGCCCTCCCTGCACGAGAGGCTGTGTGCCAAGGCGGAAGAGCGGGATTGGTGAGTGCCTGGTGCGTCCCGGTTCCTCTCCAGTGCCTCTACCGCCTGGCCATCCACTGTGTCAGGCCCTGATGTCTGCTCATGTGCTGTGCTCACTAGCCCCGAGCCTAGTCGTCAGCAGCAGCAGCGCTTACCCATGTGTGGGTGTGGGGTGCTCCTGGAGTCTGCGTGCGGTGTTCCGGGCCTCGTGCGGATGTGGGAGGAGGTGGCAGTGCTGGCTCTCAGAAGGGCGTTCGAACAGGCCTACGTTCCTTGCAGGGGAAGGCATCGTGGCGTATCTGACCGCAGTGCTGACCGACCTCCTCCACTCGCAGAGGGACCCCCTGGCCCTGTGTCTTCTGCTGCAGGCTTATGACAAGTTTGAACCTCCAGGCCCGCCCTGCTGCCATCAGCTCTCCCGGTTTCGCAGATACTACAGCCTGTGGATCCCCGAGCAAGCCCGAGAGGCTGGGGTAAGCTGGGGCTGCCCTGCAGCCGTGTAGCCAGGGAGCCGCGCGGTGCACAGGGTGAAGCGTTTGCCCTCGTTTCCTTCGCGTAGAGGGGAAGCTCAGTAGCGTCGCTGTTCTCCACCAACGTGGCTGCAACACGACGTCTCAGTAACGCAGCAGAGGGCGATTCCCGCGCTGCGTGGCGGTGATAACTGCGGTCACGGCCCCAGCACCGTGTCAGCGTCGCTCTGACCTGTGCACGCTTGTGCCGCAGCTCTGCTGCAGAACTGAGCTTGTCCACAAGGCCTGCACAGGCACCGTTGTGTTAGAGCCAGGAAGGTAAAAGAAAGCAGTTTTCTTTGGGCAGAAACTAATAAGCCAGAGATGAAGTCAGGAGCCAGGAGCTTCTTCCAGGTCTCCCACATGGGTGCAGGGGCCCAGGGACTTGGGCCATCTTCTACTGCTTTCCCAGGCCATAGCAGAGAGCTGGATTGGAAGTGGAGCAGCCGGGACTCGAACCAGCGCCCATATGGGATGCTGGCACTGCAGGTGGCGGCTTAACCTGCTGCGCCACAGCACCAGCCCCTGGAAACTGCATTCCTGTGATGGGAGTCCAGCTCCAGTATGGAGTATTGCAGATGATGGGTGGGGCAAGAAGCTAACTTTGCTGGGTGTGCTTACGAGTATTCTTTCAGTTCTAACTCCACACTTGGAGAAGCAGGTAGCTTGGGGCCTCCTTGTCTTATGAACGCTAGCCAGCGTTGATAGCATGATTTCTGTTTGTTTGCCAGGTGCATGTTAGACCCCCATACTGTGTGTTCTGTGTGCATTTTAATTCAGTTAAGCCTCACAGCAACTTTGAGAAGTAGATCAAGACACCTACCCTCCTCTATGTGGGTAAACTGAGGCACCAAGTGACGGAGTTGGGACTGCCCAGGCAGTCTGGGTGCAGAGCTCACACCCAACACAGCTGTTGCCAGCTCCCTCCACATACAGGCCGTGGTTGCAGCCAGACCGTGCCCTGCCCTGTGTGGAGGTATTACACGTTCAGTGCTGTGTCCCCTAGGGGATCCATTTTGAGTAAGTCACAGCAGTGAGTCTGCGCCCGCACGGCGTGCCTGAGGCCCCTGCAGCAGGCTTGGGTAGGGCCCGAGAGCCTGCTGTCCTCACATCCCAGCCAGGGACCACACTTGGAGAACCACCGAGTTCCGTGGCACGTGCAGCCTTGGGTTTTATTAGCCTTAGGAAGTGGGACGCTGATAATAAATAACGTAGGCCATTTGGGATAAGGCAGCAAAGGCGCTTTGGGGATTCTGTTAGGGGAAGGAGCCACGCCCGCCTGAGGCAGTTGCTCTGTTCCCTGCGTAGACCTTGTGTTCTTCCAGTGCAGCTCCGGGGCAGGGCGCTGGAAGGCAAGTGGCTGCCAGCGCGAGCCGCTGTTGGCCTTGTGATTTCCTGGTTCCCAGTGAGGCCAGTGACTACAGTCTTCTCTGCGGCCTGCACCTGGAGAAACCGCCCCACGTTGGGCCAGTGAGAACGCATGATGTGTGGGATGCGTGTGGTCGACCGTGGGCTGGCGATGTGCGTGACTAATGTGGTTGGTCTCCCATCTCTTGCTGCTCCCTCAGCCGCTGCAGGTGTCGGATGGCCCTGTGCCCCACGCTACGCTCTCGGCCTCCAGCTTCCCTGCCTTGCTGCAGGCAGCCTACGAGAGCCAGATGCTGCGTGATGAGCATGTACAGGCACAGCTGCAGGCCGCCCTCCCGGGCCTCCCCCTGCGCCAGATCCCACGCTCGGCCAAGCAAGTGCTGCTGTACTTGCGGAGCACCGTGGACAGCTTCGGTCAGGTGAGCCTGTTCCCCGCCCTGGCTCCCGTGCTCCCACACTCCCTCCTCAGAGAACGTGGCCTTTGGCTTGGCGCCACGCCCAGGGACAGGATTTCTGATGGCCTCAGGGCAGGCCCGTGGCTCCTTTGCACACCAGTTGGCACCGCCTTTTTTCCCCGGAGCAAGCAGGGACAGTCTCGGCCCCAGTCTGCACAGGCCAGCCGGCGCCCCAGCAGCTGGCTCCCTGTGTGCAGCTGCTGACTCCTGGTGGCTGTGGTCAGGACGGGGCCCTCCTGTGAGAGGCTGGGCAGTGGCCCAGCCAGGCGTCCCCTTGGTCTTTCATAAGTTCATTAACCCAGTAGCTTTCTGTCGCTGCAACAGTTAAGCTGGGAACCAAGAACTCAATCCAGGTTTCCTAGGTGGAGCCATCTTGGCTGCCTCTCCCAGGGTGTGTGTTAGCAGGAAGCCCTCCCGGCACGGGTGTTGAATCCGGGTGTTCCCATGTAGAATGCAGGTGTGTAAACTGCTAGGCCAAGGGCCTGTCTCCGCTACTCTGGTGACGCAGGTCGTGGCAGTCCTGGTGGCCGCCAGCCCGCCCCGACTGAGGCTTGTGTGTCTCTCATCCTCACAGCTGGGCAGAAGCGCAGGGCCTCCCCTGCTGCTGCTCTTCCTGGACCTCCTCAGGCGCCTGGTTGTCCACTGTGAGCAGCTGGATGCCCAGAACCGGCAGAAGTGCGAGGCTGCCCGGGCCGAATCCGACCTCTTTCTGGACATGGAGTCCATGGCCGCGCTGGAGTTGGCCAATGACCAGGTTATTGTGACCCTGTCCCGCGGGTGCCCCCGCCCGTGGCCTTTTCCTGTGAAGTCACCGATAGGGGCCTTCTCTGCACTTCTGATCAGACAGATTTATTCATGGTAGAAAAACAGAGAAATGCAGAAACCACAGCAGAGCTGCTACCAACTGCCTGTTACTCCCGCCCAGAGAGGAGCGTTGGTCCTCTGCAGGCACCGCGGGCAGCTGTCCCAGGCCTGCTGTGTGGTCTTGAGGAGCCCAGCGTGGGTTTTTCCCGAGTGGAGGACGGTGGTGGGCAGGTGCACTGGGGAACTCGTGCTCCCAGCAACAGCCAGCGCCTCTCTCCTGGCATCAGGCTGGACGGCAGCTGTGTCAGGGGGCCGGGGCTGTTTGTCACAGCTGGGAGGCAGACACATTCCGTACCTCACAGTATCATGGACCTGCACACTACAGCCCTCCTGCTTTGGTCTCCAAGTTGACTTGTGGGCGGCCTTTGGGTGCTTTGGGGGGGGGCAGCACCCCGACACGTGGGCTGCTTTTCTGCTCCTGGCTGATACTGCTCTCTTGGAAGGGGCCAGGACTCCTCTTGCCTCCTCTGATTGAATAACGAGGAAGAAAACTCCCTGCCGTCCCGTCCTGGGCGGGACTTGGTGGCTGGGGCATCAGGATCCGATCTTGGTCCAGTCCCTCCGTGGATGCTCAGCTGCCTTCTCGTCTCCTCTGCTGGGGTCGCATCTGGTCTCAGGGACCTCCGAGACCCTGTCTTCTGAAAGTGGAAACAGGACCACCTTCAGGCTGGGACTGGGGCCCTTTAACCCCAGTCTGCCTTCCGCAGACACATGGTCTTAGTTAGGCTGTACTCACCTCTCCCCAGCTGTTGGGAGACCCCCGAGTTCTCTTGGAGGGCCAGGCTGCGGAGAAGCCAGTGGGTGAGTGGTCTTCATCACGTTAGTGTCTGTGCGTGGCCTGGCCTCTCCGCCCGCTGGCTGTGAGAGCAGTGTTGCACACAGTAGGCCACCCGGGCTGGATTCATCAGACACCTGCTCATGATCTGGGGTGCTGACGAGTCCCTGGTGCCCACGGCCGTGCAGGGGAGGCCATGTGTGACCTTGTGGCCGTGTAGCTCTGATGGACAGCAGCTGGGGCGCGTACACCTGCAAGGGCTGTGGAGGACGGGCTGGGGTAGGAAGGCTGCCCTCTGCTCTCTCACTGAGCAGGGCCCATACGCGCACAGCAGTCGCTGCCTCTTTCCCCACCCTGAGCCCTGCCTGAGGCTGTGCCTTGTCGCTGTCTTTCAGACCCTGGAGGAGGTGCTGGTGGCCGTCCTCGGACACCCCACGCTGGAGGGCTGGTTCCTGGCCCTGGAGCAGCAGGCCCTGCCCCCACACACCCTCAGCCCGGTCCTTGTGAAGCTGCTCGCAGCCCACTTCAGTGCCGGGGTCCTTCAGCTGCTGGGGTCGTGTGCCCCGATCCTGCAGAGCAGGGCTCAGCTGGGCCTCCTCTCCAAGTACTCGGAGGCCATCACTCGAAGTGTGCTCAAAGAGCTGCGAGCGAGGAGGGCAGGCCCAGCCCCGTCGTCACCCAAGACCCCGCCTCAGCTGGAGGCCCTGCGGGAGCTGCACCCGTACATGGAAGGCACCCAGCTCCGCGAGGTCACGCTGGCCCTGTTGGGCCTGCCCGAGGCCCAGCTGCTGGCCCGGCGCCCCACAGAGTCCGCCGGGGAGGAGAGGTGCCTGAGCGCTCTGGGGAGGACCCTGGTGCAGCTGCTCACCAGCAGCCGCCCGGACCGGCTACAGAGTGGCGAGCTCCTCTGGTCCTCGGAGTACGTGAGAGGCCTGGGGGCTCTGCTCCCCGCGCTGGCCGTGGATGAGCTGGACGCCGTGTTCCTCCGCGCTCTGCAGAGAGACCCAGAGCTGGCGCCCGTGGCTGGGGCCGAGCTGCTGCACTACTGCCTGGCCCGGCGGACACAGGCCGCCCTCGGCATCGCCGCGCTGCTCCTCCAGCAGAGCTGCACCCACCTGCTGGGCTTTGAGTTGTGGTGCAGGCAGCCCGGCGCCGGGCTCGGCCTGCAAGAGGACCCGGATGACTTCCTGCCCCTCGTCCACGAGTACCTCCGGTGCCGCACGCGGGGGCTCTTCGCACGCCCAGCAGGAGGTAGGAGAGAGGATGGGCAGCTGGGATGTTGAAGCGGGAGGAGCTAAGGCACTGAACTGTGGGGCCGCCCCCAACCCCTGCCACTCCACACTCTGAGGTGTGGTTTGCCTCTGGCTCCTCTGGCATCTGACCCGCCTCCGAGGACCGAGAAAGCTGCAGCCCTCTCGGGGCCTGTTGACCTCCTGGCTTGACTCACGCCCCTTGTGCTACCCCATAGAGGCCGGGGGGAGGGCTGGGCAGTGACTGGGGCCACCGGGCCTGTCTGGTGAAGCTGCAGGAGCCACTCGGGGATAAGCCTTCGCTCGTCCGTCCTGCCCTCCCCACCTCTGGAGGAAGGTGGCTGAGTCCATCACCTCTAATGAGTTCCTGTGCATTGAACCCGCGTGAGTTTGCACTCATCGCTTTCCCTGTTCCGCACGCTTTCTCCCAGAGTGACAGGTGTTTGTGGAAGACAGCGCCCTGCAGCAGGGACCTTCCGGTCCTGTGAGTTCAGAGCTCCTGGCATGGACTCGGTTGGGGCCATCCCCGGGTCCGCTGGCTAGAGCGTAGAACTGGACACTGAAGGGAGTGCCTGGGCCTGCTGAGTCCACCAGGAAAGGCGGATAAACGCAGCCCCTGTGAGCTGCCCTGAGCCGCCTCCAGCCGCCATTGCCTGTGATGACGTCGCCTCTGTGTGTCTGTCCTAGTGTCCTCCGCTGTGGTTCCTGTCCTGAGGAAGGCGCTGTGGAGGCGGCTGCAAGACAGGCTTCTCAGTGCCGACGACTCCCCCGCGTCGGACCTGCACCACGAGGTCCTGGCCCAGCTGGTCCCGTTTGCGAGAGCCAAGGATCTCCGCGTTCTCATGGGCCAGCTGCCCGGCTTGCTGCAGGCTCCGGGCACTCACAAGGGGTAGGAGGCTCAGGCTGCCCGGTGGCTGGGGCCCACTGCTCTTTCTGGAAGTAACACAGTGAAAGATGAGTGGCTGTGTTGCTGTTGTGTCGAGCGGTGGGAGGGCTGCTCCTATGAGAAGTCTGCGTTTCAGCCCCCTGGCCGGGCAGATGCGTCTCTGAGTGGAGGGCGGAGGCTGATTGCCCGAGATGGGTGGTTCCGGGGACACAGTTGGCGGTGCCCACGTTTGTTATTGTCCCACCCTGGCATCTAACATGCAGGGGGCCAGGGTACTACTAAGTCCCCCCCACACACACACAGGGAAGCCCCCAGAAAAAAGAGTCACGTGGCCCAGAATGCCAGTAGCGCTGCAGTTGAGACACCTGGTCTTGACAAAGCTGGCCGTAGAGCCATTTTCTGGAGTGTTACTATGGTTCTCCTTAGTGGTAAAAACCCTGGGATGTGTCTGATGTTGGCCCAAGAGTGCCGGGAGACCCGTGCTCCCTGGGAGAGGGGGCATCTGTCCTCTGTGCCCTGCTGGATCTCAGCCTCCCTCTCACTCTGCGACTCCTCTGTCTCCCGCTGCAGCTGGAGCGTGGCAGACTCCATCTCAGCGGCCCTGGAGGGCTCGGCAGAAGAGCTGGCTGCCTGGAGGAGGACCCTGCTGGAGTCCTGCATCAAGTGGCTGCTTGCGTCTTTCAGCGGGAGCCCCCAGGGTGATGACGGCGCCCAGGGCCAGGAGAAGCAGATGCTGCTCAGACTGAATAAGTTGCTGGTGGGTGTCCTTTCCCAGTCAGAGGGTTAACTTCAGGGGGAGGCGTGCCAAGACGGACCAGATTTGCAGATACGTTTCAGGCCATGTGGCAAATGAGAAGGGCCCAGGGGTGGAGCGGCAGCCCCTCGGTGGCATCTCATCAGGAACTGATGCTGGAGTTTGTCAGCTGCTTTTTTTTTTTTTTTTTGACAGGCAGAGTGGACAGTGAGAGAGAGAGACAGAGAGAAAGGTCTTCCTTTGCCGTTGGTTCACCCTCCAATGGCCGCCGCTGCAGCCGGCGCACCGCGCTGATCCGATGGCAGGAGCCAGGATCCAGGTGCTTTTCCTGGTCTCCCATGGGGTGCAGGGCCCAAGCACCTGGGCCATCCTCCACTGCACTCCCTGGCCATAGCAGAGAGCTGGCCTGGAAGAGGGGCAACCGGGACAGAATCCGGCGCCCCGACCGGGACTAGAACCCGGTGTGCCGGCGCCGCTAGTCGGAGGATTAGCCTATTGAGCCACGGCTCCGGCCCTGTCAGCTGCTTTTTTGCATCTAAGATATTACATACGATCTCGTGTTTCAGTTAACCCATCAGCACGATGAATTATTCCGAATGTTAAGACAACCTTGCATTCCCTAGATTAGCCTATGAATGTGATGGACTGTCCCTTTTATACGTACATTGTTGAATTTGATTTTCTTAGAATTTTTAGATTTTCGTGTGTGCTCTTACTTCCCTGGCATGTCTCTGGTCTTAGTTCGGGTTTCTCTGGCCTCACAGAGCAAGCTGGGAAGTATTTCACCGGGTGTGAAGTCCTGGTTGATGGCTTATTTGTTTTCTAAGTATTTTAAAGATGTTATCTTTATTCCCAGTAAGAAATCTCTCCTCCTGTCTTTGCTCCTCTGTTCATTGTTTTTTTTTTTCTTTCCCCTCTGGGTGATTTTCATGTTTTTTGAACCTCAGTGTAGTTTTCGTCAAGTTTCTCATGCTTGGGGCTCAGTGGTGTGCAGTGATAGTTTTATGAAATTCAGAATCATTTGGCCACTCTTCTCATGAGTTGTCTTTTTCCCCTGGTGTTGGGTTTTGCGCAGAAGTGTTTAACACCCCGGAGTGTGAGTGACATTGCATTAGGAGTCCTGCAGCCTGGGGCTCGTGGTTAACTCTGAACCCAAGACCTTGTGACCGTGAGCAGGCCTGCTCGCCCTAGATACGTGTGTGGGTCATCGAGTTGCTCTCAGAGACTTGAAAGCCTCTACTTTCAGGCTTGATTCCTCGTGTCAGAGCTTTGTGAATGGAGGGCGCACGAATGCTAGTGTGTGGATGACACACCTGAGTGCCCTCACCCCATCACCTCGTAAAGTTCCTGTGCTTGTCTCCAAAACCCCCTCACCCTCAGATCACCTCCGTGCAGTGTAAGCCAACACCACGCGTGTGTGTGTCCGGCTTCCTTCCGGGTGTGGGGATGAATGGTTCTGGTTGCCAAGCAGCGTCCGTGTGTGACACCCCCTCCCGCCTCCTCTCCCGAACATTTTGAATTACTGGGTTTTGTGATCATGAAACCAGCCAGCACACTCATTGCAACCATAAGTGATGCAAAGACAACAAGAAGGAAGTGAACAGTCTCCACTAGGTAGAGCCGTCCCATTACGTGTTTGGGGAACGGCGGCCTAGGTAGAGCCGTCCCATTACGTGTTTGGGGAACGGCGGCCTAGGTAGAGCCGTCCCATTACGTGTTTGGGGAACGGCGGCCCGGGGATCTCGCGTGGTCCGTCTTCATGCCCCTGCTCAGTCGTCTTGAGTGACGTCCTGAAAGAGGAGCCGCCGGAGCCGTGCCCGGGCAGGGAGACGCGGCTGCTGCTTGCCTTTCCCCTGCCGCCTCTGGCAGCGGGGTCTCCAGGGCGCGGCCAGCCTGCCGGAGGCAGTGGCCCGAGCGCACAGTGGCGCTAGCCGGTCCCTCTGGTGCCAGCATCACTCTCCTGTCACACAGACCGTTTCACGCCGTGCAGCCTGAGGATGGGGGAAGCTGGTCCGTGGGTGGTCTTCTGCTCTTTCCAGTCCCTTAGTGCCATCTGCAGTGGAAGACAGGACAGAGTGACAGGGCGCTCGGAAAGTTTCCTCTTGCCCGTTGTGATCGTGCGTATGCCAAGAGAGTGCCAGCACTCCTGGCAGAGATAACCTCTCTCTCAAACGTGAAAGCAGTGCGTTTTCCAGAGCAGGCTCCTTCCTGCAGGTTGTGTGGTTGGGTTTTCTTCTTAGTGTCTTCAGAAGTCACTGAGATAGTCCACGTGGATGTCTTGCTTTCTTTATTCCTAGCATGCATGTAACGAAGTTGATCCCGGGGACTGGCAGAAATTTGTGAAGACGGGACTCAAGTAAGTGGATTTGAGAATCTTGGTGCCATCTGGTGAAAGAGTCAGTGTCACTCACTGATGCTGGGACGCTCCTTTATCTCCTGCTGTTTGCATTACACACGGCACAGCGGCTGTGGTCTCCGTAGTAGAGACGAGAGCCATTGGAGGGGTTAAATGATCTACCCGACGGCACACGGGGCCAGTGGTGAGGAGGAGGAAGCGTGTTTCTAAAACAGGAGATATTTAGTAAATACAAAAATGTGCAGAAACTAGTAGCAGTACTCAAATGTAATAAATGCTGATAGTTTTCTACCTGGGAGTGCTTCCAAAAGGTCATAGAAAGTTTTGTCGTGCAAAAAATTAGGAAATTCATGCATGCAAAGGCATCTTCAAAAAGTTCATGAAGAATGCATGTTAAGAAGCTACATGTGGATTTAAAAAAAAAAATTATCTATTTATTTGAGGGGCAGAGAGATCTATCCACTGGTTCACTCCCCAGATGGCTGCAACAGCCAGAGCTGGGCCACTCCAAACCCAGGGGCCAGAAGCCAGGAGCGTCTTCTGGGTCACCCACGTGAGTGCAGGAGCACAAGCAGTTGGGCCATCTTCCACCCTTTCCCAGGCCATAGCAGAGAGCTGGATTGGAAGGAGAGCAGCTGGGACACGAAGCAGTGCCCATATGGGATGCCAGCACCACAGGCAGAGGCTAAACCTGCCGTGTCAGAGTGCTGGCCCCTGGATTTTTAACACCAAACTATACCTGTCTTAGTCCTGTTTTCCACACACTATAAAGTTCTCTCATACTTGTCCTAATTCATTGTCACACACATACACACCCAAAAGTCACCAGTCTTCCAAGGCTGTGCTCTGGTGTGTGCAGATTTTCCAGCTCTGTATTGATGTGTCCTTGTGTGCTGCTGCTTCTTTTTTTTTTTTTTTTTTTGGACAGGCAGATTTAGACAGAGAGAGAGAGACAGACAGACAGAAAGGTCTTCCTTTCCGTTGGTTCACCCCCCAAATGGCTGCTATGGCCGGCGCTGCACCAAACCAAAGCCAGGAGCCAGGTGCTTCCTCCTGGTCTCCCATGCGGGTGTAGGGCCCAAGCACTTGGGCCATCCTCCACTGCCTTCCTGGGCCACAGCAGAGAGCTGGACTGGAAGAGGGGCAACTCGGACAGAATCCGGCACCCCAACCGGGACTAGAACCTGGGGTGCTGGTGCCGCAGGCTGAGGATTAGCCTAGTGAGCCGCGGCGCCAGCCTTTATGTGTTTCAACAATAACATTGTTCAGTGTGTTTAGCATTTTACACTGATCTCTCCTTTGTGTGTCCTGTTTCTCGGACACTTCTGTTTTATCCACACCAATACGTGTCCATCTTAAGTCATGCATTTTGACCACTGTAGAATGTTCCACCTTCTGACTGTGTGTTTTTTTGGTTTGTTTATTCGCCCAAAAAGCTGCCCCTGGCAGGGACTCGTGCTGCTTGCCATGCAGGTGGTGGTGTTGGGGTGGGACGGGGCCCCTGCTGGCCATTAGCATCAGCACACCTCCAACTTCACAAGGCTCTCAGCTCTCCCTGGTGCTGCGCAGGTGACTGTGGGCTCCTGGCATGGCGTGTGTGAGTTCATTTGCCCTCACAGGTCACTGACACTTGATATGGTCAGACCCTAGTTTGTGGCAATGGGAGAGTTATGAAACGATGTTTTGTTGCTCCTGTAACTTAAAAATCAAAGAAGTTTTTCACTCTACTTGAAAGACAGAATTTTCTTTCCATTGGTTCACCACCTCACTGCAGCAACTGGAGCTAGAACAGACCGAAGCCAGGATCCTGGAATGGAGTTTGGGTCTCCCTTATGGGTGGAAAAGACCCAAGTACTTGAGCCATCACCTGCTGCCTCCCAGTGTGTGCATCAGCAGGAAGCTGGATTGGAAGCAGAGCCAGGATTTGAACTGGGCACCCTGATAGAGGATGTGGGCATGTGAAGAGGGGTCTTAGCCACCGTACAAACACCCATTCCTGTACCTTCTGTGCTGTCTGACGGACGGTCTGTGCAGCAGAGAGCAAGGAGGAGGGGGGCCGCCCTGGCGGGGGGCTCGGAGACCCGGTGTGGCCTCCGCTGAGGCTCAGCTCCTCTGCTGCCTGCGGGCGCCTCAGCTGCTCAGGGCTTTGTTTGGTGTTTGTGTGATAAAGCAAATGAGTGTGCTGCATCCCCCATTTGGCTTGAGAGGTGCAGTGGTGACGGGCGGGTCCCTGTGAGAGAGTGTGGCGCCGTCGGTGGTAGGATCTGCAGCGGGGGTCTGCGGCCATTCCTGGGAGATCTTCGCCTGGTGCTGTGTTTGAAGAGCTGAGGGAAAGGCTTGTTTGTCTCCTGTGAGGTAAAGTTGCCCTTTCGTGAAGCGCTTCTCCCTCGGTCTGCTGCTGCTAGGTCTCGATACCAGGACCACACGTTTCTGAAGACCCTGTGTGCGGCCACCCAGCTCCTGTACGCGCCCGGAAGCCCCGGGCGCACGACGCTCGTCCAGCTCCCGCTGGTCCACACCATGCTCACCCAGCACTCCCTGTTCTTGCCCACGCTCCTGAAGTCTGAAGAAGAGGACGTCCCTGACACCCAAGTGAAAGGTAGCCCCCTGCCCCCTCCCCTTGCAGACCCCGATCTTACTCCCTGGTATCCTCCGCCTTCATTCAGCTCTGCACCAAAGCTTGTCTCGTGTGTTTTCAGGGCCAAGGGCCCATTACCAGAATGGTGTGGGAGTCCCTTAGTTCTGTCAGATCTGAGGTAACGCCTGTTTCCTCTGCCTTGCAGTCAAGTAGGCTCTGCAGACCTGTTGTTCAGGCCCTGCTTGGCTGCAGAAGTCCTATCTGAGGTCGTATTGCCATACTATGGGCTACCATCAAAATCTAGGAATTAGGGAAATTAGGGTATGGGGGAAGTATGTAGACATCTGAAATGAAATCGAGCAGTTGGACACTTTTTTTTTTTTTTTAAGATTTATTTATTTATTTGAAAGGCAGAGAGAGAGGTCTTCCATCCGCTGGTTCACTCCCCAAATGCCCGCAACAGCTGGAGCTGAGCTGATCTGAAGCCAGGTGCCAGGAGCTTCCTCTGGGTCTCCTACAGGGGTGCAGGGGCCCAAGGACTTAGGCCATCTGCTAATGCTTTCCCAGACCTTAGCAGAGAACCAGATGGGAAATGGAGCAGCCGCGACTCGAACTGGTGCCCATATGGGATGCTGGCACTGCAGGCGGTGGCTTTACCCACTACGCCACAGCGCCAGCCCCTGAAATTTGTTAATGAGAAGATTGCAACTTTTAGCGAGGGAAAGGGTAAAACTTGTCAGCAGTTGTTGCTAGGAGACTTCTCGAGCCCCAAGTTGGGCTGCATTCCTGCTTCGTCAGTGTGTGCGTCAGTGCCCACGTGGGTGGGCTGCGGGAGGGTCAGAGAAGGTGGGCTGTAGGTTCCCACCCTCAGTGCCCCCCTGTGTCTAGAGAGGAAGCCACGCCCCTACATCACGAGACGTCACTACAAGTTCAGTCTAGTTCAGGCCTGCGTCACTGTGATTCCATCATTGTGCGAATGTTGCAGAGTGTACTTACGCAGGCCTGGAGGGCACAGACCCATTGCTTGGTGTGGCCTCTTGCTGCAGCCCATCTGTGCGGTGAACACCACGTGTGTGGGGCTGCTGCCCTGTAATACGCAGTCGCAGTAAAGGGTGTCGTATAGTGAATGCCTAACCCTGTCCTAAGTGCTTCTCCACGGCCAAGTGTGCTGCGCTGGGCGCACCTGCGTGCCTTCTGCTTTAGACACTGACAGTGCAGAGTTGTTCACCCCAGTGTCGCCACAGACACGCGAGGAGACCAGCAGGCTGGCTCTCATGGGCGTTGCTAGGCAACAGGAATGGTTCAGTCCTGGGTGGCCTGCGAGGCAGGTGGGGACAGTGAGCAGAGAATGGTGTTCAGCCGTGTCAGAGACCCAGGAAGACAGGTGATGGAGAAGATACTGATGTAAAGCTGAAGAGACACGGGGAAGGGACTGGATGGCAGCCCCAAGGGGACCCCTTGAAAGTCTCAGTGGCCCCCGGTGGGCTTCCCACATTTAGCCTGAGCGTCACACCCCGGCAGAGCTGTGTGGCTCACGCTGTTTTATTCCAGAAGCCCTGGTGGACCTGATGCTGATGGTGGTGAGGATGTGTCCCTCTGTGTGTGAGAGCAGCCACTTCGCCGTGCTTCTCGGGGCCTACGGTGCCACCCTCAGTGTCCTAGGTGAGGTTTGAGAGCCCGGGGCTGAGAGTGGGGAGTGTGTTAGTACGGGGTGGGAGGGGTGAGCAGCGAGCTGTGGTCATCGCAGGTGTAGCAGGGAGCATGAGTGCGAGTCTGTGGGGCCTGGTGGGACTGGGGGAGGGTGTGACCACTGTTAGTGACCAGGAACCACGTGAGGGCTGTGCCATGAGCGTGGGGTGGGGTGCCTCCCATGGTAGTGTTCCTCAGGGGTTCCACTTTCTAAACTGACCCTCACTTGGCTTACAGACCAGAAAATTTTACTTCTGCTCCGGGCGTATGAAAAGAACAACCTCAGCCTCATCGACTTCAGGTGCGTGTGGGGCGCCGTCAGAGTGGCAGGCCGGACGGTGCCCGCCCCAAGACGCTGGCGCCCTCTCCACACAGCGAGCTCCAGCCTTGAGGTTTCTTTGTGCTTTTTCTGATTCCCAAGGAAAGGGCATGGTTGCCGGGGCTCCCCTAGCACCACATGGGCTGCTCCATGAAAACTGGGCCCCCGCTGACAGTGGGTGCCTGCCTGTCCAGGACCTGCCCCCAGCCTCACACCTGGGCTCCAGTGTCTGGTTTAGGAGACTTTTCCAATAACCTTTTCCTTCATGCTTTAACTTGTAAATTATTTTTAAATTTACTTGAAAGAGAGATAGTCAGAGATCGTCCATCCTCTGGTTCACTCCCCCAGTGCCTACAACAACCAGGGCTGGGCCAGGCCAAAGCCAGAAGCCGTGAACTCAGTCCAGGTCTCCCACATGGGTGGCAGAGACCTGAGTGCTTGAGCTGTCACGTGCTGCTTGCCAGGGTGTGCATCAGCAAGGGTGCTGTAGTCAGGAGCGGAGCTGGGATTTGAACCCAGGAGCTCTGATTCGGGTCACGGGTGTCTCACTTGGCATCCTAACCCCTACACCAGACTCCCACCTCTTCATCTTTACTTGATGCGGTGTCTCATTGACGCGAGGAGGACTGAGCAGATGTTTAAATCTCTCTCCTGTGTGTGTGTGCACGCGTGTGTATGTCTGCCCACGTCCTGGGGCTGGGCTCGGTGCCTCTCCCCGGGCACCCTGCCCCCTCTCTGCGAGTGCTAGGGCCGAGTGGGGACTTGGTCAGATGGTACTGTAGATAGGAAACACTTTGGGACCCGCTTTGCTTCTCTGGATTCCCCTCTCCTCCTCTCATCTGGGACAGCACCCTGCTATCAGCCAGCAGGAATGTGAAGAAGTGCGTTGTGTGTTCAGACGGGAACTGAGCTCAGGGGGCCAGGCGGAGAGCGGGGAGAGCCCTATAGCGCCAAAGGCTGGGCTAGCCCGGAAGCTGCCACCCCATTCTCCCCAAGAAGGAAAGAACAACAAAACGTTGAAATCGTCTTCTTGCTCTTAAGGATGGCAGGTCTTCAGCAAACGTTCTTTCCTTCCACTTCCGCACGGGCCTCGCTCAGTTGCCTTCTGGAATAGAACGGCCCCTGCACAGGTGAGGGCGAGGCAGGCCGTGTCACCGGGAAGCCCCCGGTGGCTGCATGGAGCCCCTCCCACTTGGAGAGCTGAGCGGGCTGAGTGGGGCCGCGAGGTGCCGGCAGACGGGTTGGCATTGGTTGGGAGAGTCCAGGTCCAGCTCCCCGGGGAGACAGTGGCTAGAGGACCCAAGGTAGCCAAGGGTGCAAGGTTTTCCTCAGACTCTAAGTCAGCATCACCACGTCCTGAGGTGACGGAGCAGGCCTGGACCAGGGAGCCCCGTGGCGCACAGCACAGCGGACGCCGCCATCTGCCAGGCAGTGGGCTGTCGAAGGGTGTGGCGGGGCATTAGCTGCCTGCCTGCTGGGAGCGCCCTCTGGAGGGCGGTCCTCCGTGTCGTCTTGTCACTCACTGCTGTTTCCTCGGCAGAGAGGCGTCTCCCTCAGGAGGCCTTCACCTCGGTAGTGTTGGTGGAGCACCTGCTATGGAGCAGGCCCTGGGCGCGGCACAGTCGGGACCACTCAGGGCCGTGGTTACGAAAACGCAGGCTGACGAGAGGCGGCTCTGTGTGAGTTGGCACCTGGCTCCCCCGTGGCATGAGCCACTGACACAGCCCAGGGCACGCTGCCCCAGTGGGCTGGCATTGGAAGGACAGGGAGGCATGGGGTGGGGCAGGTGTGGCAGAGGAGCCTGGGCCATGCCTAAGTGCGAGAAAATTATTCTCATTTGTTGTTCCTTTCTTCTTGAGGGGATAGGGTGGGGTGGCTTCCGGGCTAGCCCCGGTTTTCCCTGCAGGGCTCTCCCTGGCCTGCTTAGCTCAGTTCCCTGAACACACAACGCCCGTCCTCACGTCCTCATCGGCAGTTGTCAGGTGCTGGTCCCAGATGTGAGGCAGAAAGGGGAGTCCAGGGCAGCCAAGAGGACCCCAAAGTGTATTCTATCAACTGTACACACACTCGGTCAGGTTCCTGCTTGCAGAGGTGGGCGGGGCCTCCCAGGGATTGGCACCAGGACCTGAGCTGGGAGGGCCGTGGAGGGAACAGCACGGCCGGCGGCGAGGAGCTGGGAAACCAGGACATCTGGGGGAGTGTTTGGGGTGGCCCGTCCAGGTCTTAGGGTGTGTGCTGGAAGGCCAGGCGGCTGGTTAGGGAGGACGCAGGCCCCCAACAGAAGACTTCCAGTCCATCGGGAGATGGCAGAGAGCTGAGAGGTGTTCCGGAGTGGAGAGGCGGCCCTCTTCAGGGCTGGGTGTTGGCCAGGGCCCTGTAGCAGTGGGGAGGAGGAGAGGCACAGGGAAGAAGAGAGAGGCCCGTGTCGTGTTGTTCTTCAGGTGGAAGGTGAGGTGCGCCTTTGTGAGCTCTGTGGCTGGGAGCTGGAGTGAGCTGGTCCTACGTGACGCACGGGCAGACTCAAGGGTGAGGGCAGCAGAAGGCTTTCACACAGGCCTGGTTCGCGCACACAGCCCCGTGTGAGCAGGGAGAGGGCAGGGCCTGTGGTCCAGCACGGACTCTGGACCAGACTTGCCGAGCAGGAACCGTGGCTGTGCCGCTCGCCTCCGGGCAGGTGACCCGTGGGGCCGCTTCCTCACTCCTCTCTGCAGCTCTCCCTGCCATTTGCCCAAGGGGCAGCAGTAGCGCCTGCCTTGCAGGGTCGTAAGTCAGGGACTTGAAATACAATGCCTGGCACGTGGTAAGTGCAGTGCTGCATGGGTGCTGGCTTCTGTCATCGTCACAACACTGCCCTCCCCTCCCTCGCCACCGGCAGCTCCGGAGGCTGTGACAGGGGTAAGGGAAGGGATGCACGTGGTGGGGGTGAAGTGTGTCTCGACGGAGGCCACCCAGTGTGGTCGCTGTTGCTCTCACTGTGTTCCTGCTGGGACGCTGGGACCAGTCCCTCCTCCCCTCCCTGGCCCTAGGGTGCTGCTGTGGGGCCCGGCGGCCGTGGAGCACCACAAGACGTGCCGCAGCCTGGGCAAGTCGCTGTGGCAGCAGCCGAGCCCCGGGGACATCCTGCGCCTGCTGGATCGCGACCGGGTCTTGCAGACCATCCTGCACTTCCCCCAGCGCCGGAAGCTGCTGCCGCCCGAGGTACCGCGCCGCTGTCCTGCCCCCTCCCCTACCCCTCCCAGGGCACCGTCTGCACCCTGGGGCAGCGGCCGACTGCTCCGAGGTACAGCACTCCAGCGGTCAGCAGCCACGTCCTTTGTTGGCAACCCCTGCCCCACCGATTGCAAAGACCATTATCCGTTCACGCACAAGTTCTGCCTTTCACAGGACCCCTTGGCGTTCTGGCCGTCACCGGAAAATGCTCAGGCAGTACGAGTCGAGCACCCCTAATCTGAGTGCTCCAGCGTCCGAGTCTTGTTGAGCACCAGCAAAACGCTTGCAAAGGCTCTGATTTGGGAGCGTTCAGATTCCAGCCTTCAGACTGGGGACGCTGAGCCAGTAAACCTGGGATCCTCCACCACTGTGGGATGGAGACCCCCGGCCTGGCTCCCTCTGCGAGGTGACATTCTGCGGTCGGTTTTGGCTGTTTCAGGACGAGCAGGAGCCTGTGTTCGAAGACAAGAACGTGAGGGTGGATCTCGGTGGCCTCTACGACCCCTGCTTTCTCCTCCATCTCTTCAGTGAACTGACCAGGCCCGGTGAGTGCCCCTCCTGGCGGGCGGGGCTCGGCCCCACTGCTCCTCGCTGCCCTCAGCGGCGCGTCAGGACCTGAGCTTGGGAAGGATTCCTGAGTTGTTGCAGCTGGTGGCCAGACACCAGAGCGGTGAGAGGGTGTGTACTGTGAACGGGTCCGAGCCTGCTGGGGCCGCTCGGTTCTCTGGGCATCTGGGCATCTTTGAGTAGGTGCGTGGGCAGGGAGAGGGAGCGGGTGTGTGGGCAGGGAGAGGGAGTAGGTGCACGGGCAGGGAGAGGGGCGGGAGCAGGTCTGTGCGCACACTCTGCGGAGCCGCGGCTGCTGTCCCCTGGCTGGCAGGTCCGCTACCCTGGGGCCTCCTGACCGTGCGTGGCAGAAGCTGGCTGCGGTCAGTTCGATGGGGACGTGAACGTCCTTGGGGTGGAATGTCTCTTTGTGCCTTCAGCCTGGTTTCTGATCAGATTGTTTGCTGTTGAGTTTGGGGGTCCCTTGTCTTCGGAGGACGTGTGGCGTGCAGCCATTCCTCCTGCTGTGGGTCTTCCGTGGCGCACAGCCTTGGGTTTGAGCAAGTCCAGTCAGTTGTACAAGTGTGTGTCTAGAACTCTGCCTGCCCCTGGATCCTGAGGGATTTCTCTTGTGCTTATTTCTCAAGTTCATGGTTTTGTGCTTTACATGGGCCATGATCTGTACAGAGTTTGTCTTTGTATCAGACAGGAGGTTCAGGCCGAGGTTCATTTGTCGGCCTCTAGGTGTCTGATTGTTCCACCCTATTTGAGGAGAAGGCCAGGGCTGCGGGCCAGAGTGGGGTCTCAGGGCGCTTTCCTGGATGGGAGGGTAGAAGCGGCTGTGGTCCCAAGGCTGGGGGAGCTGTGTCACCGCAGGGCAGTGGGGGAGCCCTCTCTCCACTGGGCTTCCTCTGACACCGCCTGGGGACTGAGGCAGGCCTACCATGACAGTCCAGAAGGGCCTCAGATGTGGGGGCGAGGCCTGGCTCCCCACTCCCTGGTGCTGGCGTGGGGCTCAGAGCAGTGTCTGATTGTCCAGTAGTCAGTCTCACTCGGCTGCCCCTTCCCGGACTTTTTAGTAGCTGTGCCTGGTGTCTTCCACTCAGAGTCTGGGACGCTTGAGGCAGAACAACCTGGGCTCTGGGGCGCTGGCTGCCTCGTCCGTCCTGGGTCTCAGCGTCCCTGGCTGTCCACTGTCTCTGTGCTCTCAGGGCCACCTGTGTTTATTTCCAGAGTTTTAGTTTCACTTAGTAAGAAGTTAGGGGGGCCGGCGCCGTGGCTCAATAGGCTAATCCTCCGCCTTGCAGCGCCGGCACCCCAGGTTCTAGTCCTGGTTGGGGCACCGGATTCTGTCCCGGTTGCCCCTCTTCCAGGCCAGCTCTCTGCTATGGCCCGGGAGTGCAGTGGAGGATGGCCCAAGTGCTTGGGCCCTGCACCCCATGGGAGACCAGGAGAAGCACCTATCTCCTGCCTCCGGATCAGCGTGGTGCGCCAGCCGCAGCGCACTGTCCACAGCGGCCATTGGAAGGTGAACCAACGGCAAAGGAAAACCTTTCTCTCTGTCTCTCTCTCTCACTGTCCACTCTGCCTGTCAAAAAAAAAAAAAAGAAGAAGAAGAAGTTAGGGGAAAGTGCGCCTATTCCTTCTTCCCAGAATGAGAGCCTAATGTAATCAGTTCTAGCATTAGATAGTGCAGCACAGATCGAAATTCGGCTGGGGAGGGTGGGGAAATGAGTGGTTTCGTGGGCCGCCAGTTAAGACCCTGCTATGACTCTGGTACCCCCAGATCAGGACGCCGGTTCAAGTCCCAGCAGAGCCCTGCTGATGCACCTGGAAAAGTAGTAGATGATGGCCCAAGTACTCGGGCTCCTGCCACCTACATGGGAGACCAGGTGGGAGTTCCTGGCTGTTGGCTTTGAACCAGTGCAACATTGCCAGTGCAAGCTTTTGGGCAGTGGATCAACAAATGGACGATCTCTGTCATTCTGTCTTTCAAAGGAACTTCAGCTGGGCTGAAGGGCATGCAGTGCAGATCTCTTCCTGCCACGCCCTTGGCCGGGGCCTCTTCACTCAGCGGGAAGCATGTGTTAGCAGATGTTTGTGTCGTCTCCAGGGCTCAGGGGCTGCGCAAGGCCCGGTGAGCTGCCAGTCTGGCTGTGACAGAGGACCTCCTGGGACTGGGGGCACAGGCATGCACAGTCTCTGTGCTTGTTGGCACAGCCAGCCTCATACTCCCCAGGGCTCCTTTCCGCAGGATTGGATAGCTGAGCTGTGCCCCTTTGTAAGTCTGAAAATGTCTCTCCTTACCCTTGGGAGCAGTTGCTGATCCTCCCCTGCCCTTTAAACCCCTTCACACAGTGGATAGGGCCGGCTGTCGGTAGAGAGTTCCCATCTCCTGCCGTGTGTGCTGGTTCTAGCTCCCCTGGCCTGACCCTGCTCTGAGGCTGCAGCTGGGGTTTGTTTGCAAGAGAGCAGAGTGTTTCACACAGGTGTCGGACATGGTGGTGGCGCAGGCCGTCTTCGTGGCCCGGGGCCTGCCGAGCAGCGGCTGCCTGTGGCACACCCAGCAGCCCGGGGGCCCGGGGAGCTCTTTGGATCGCCCTAAGCCGTGACGGTGCTGGCGCAGTCTGCGCCTCACCACGCTCAGAAAGAGATTTCCGCAGCCCAAGACTGATGCCTCTGGCCGCCATAGCGTCAGTGTGCACCGTGAGACATATGTGGTCTGGCCTCTGTCTCTTAGCCCAGGAACCAGAACGCAAAGACTTGGAAAGTGTGTCGTAGTGCAGTTAGCACAGTGTTTTCCCCAAAACCTTGACTCTTGGCCTTAGTGCCTGGTGGCGGCAGGGCCTGGGAGGCCTTCTGTGTGGGGAGGCGACAGGCAAATGCGCGTTCACGTTAGAGAAACGCACAGCCCCATTCTCCCCACCTTGTCTCCGCCACAGCCTGTCTTCAGTTTTCCTGGTACAGTACAGGAAGGAAGACCAGCAGAGCGTGTCTGTCCCACTCCTGGAAAGGGTTTGCGACCGCTTACACTGCTGTTTCCGCTAAGAACTCACCTCGAACCAGAGCACCCCAGAAAGTGCAGAGGCGGGGGCCGGCGCTGTGGCGGAGCGGCCGCGACGCCAGCATCCCGAATGAGCACTGCTTCGTCTCCCGGCTCCTCCACCTCAGATCCGGCTCCCTGCAGGTGCACCTGGGAAGGCAGCAGATGACAGCCCAAGTGCTTGGATTTCTGCTACCCCTGGGGGAGGCCCTGATGGCGTTCCAGACTCCTGGCTTGGCCTGGTCCAGCCCTGGCCTTTGTGCATTTTGGAGTGGGAGATATCTGTCTCTCCCTCATTCTCTCTTTCACTCTGCCCTTCAAATCAATCAATAAATCTTAAAAAGAAGGCAAACATAGAAGTAGAGAGGGAAATAGATATACCTCCCCAAAAGAAAAAAACAAACACTTCCCAGAAGTAGGTATATTAGCTGTGCCCTAGGCTCCTTGACATCCAAGTGAACACTGGAAGCTGGGATTTTAAACAGATTTCGTGACTGCCAGTTAGGAAGCTCAGCAGTTCACCGGGGAGGTGAAATGGATTAAAGGGGGCCATGGGGGTGGGCACAACCTGTACGTGCACAGGCAGAGCGTGGGGGAGACCCCCAGCCTGCTCAGGACTCGAACCCCTTCCTCCCCAGGAGAGCCAGGGTCCCGTTATGGCCCACGCGGCCTTGGGTGTCAGCAACACGCATCCCACGTTCCCTGCGGAGATTCATCCGTGCCCAGTGTCACAGAGCGCTCGGCCCCGTGCTTCATCCCCACAGTGGCGCGTGCTGAGTCCTCAGAGAAGCTGCGTCTCACCGCTCCATTTTCAGCCCTTCCCTGGAAATGGGAGCCTGTTTTCTTAACCTTACTGCTTCCCTTCTTTGAGTCCTTGGCCATGAAACGAGGCCAGCCTGGCCGTCAGCAGTGGCAGTGACAGATGCCTTTTTTTTTTTTTTTTTTTTTTTTGACAGGCAGAGTGGACAGTGAGAGAGAGACAGAGAGAGAAAGGTCTTCCTTTTGCCGTTGGTTCACCCTCCAATGGCCGCCGCTGCAGCCGGCGCACCGCGCTGATCCGATGGCAGGAGCCAGGATCCAGGTGCTTTTCCTGGTCTCCCGTGGGGTGCAGGGCCCAAGCACCTGGGCCATCCTCCACTGCACTCCCTGGCCATAGCAGAGAGCTGGCATGGAAGAGGGGCAACCGGGACAGAATCCGGCGCCCCAACCGGGACTAGAACCCGGTGTGCCGGCGCCGCAAGGTGGAGGATTAACCTATTGAGCCACGGCGCCGGCCTGACAGATGCCTTTTCCACAGCAAACCCTGGTCCTCCGCGGCACTGGGTGAGATCCTCAGCTCACAGTGCGCGACTGCCACAAGCAGCCCGCGCAGGGAGGCCCTCTGCGTCCTCCGGGCCTCCTCATCAGGCGACACGGGCCCCAGTGACACCTGTCACCGTGCTGAACTTACCTGACAGCTTGCTTCTGGGGGTCCCGTGTCGGAAGAGCCTGTGGAAGGATTTTAATGTGCCAGCGGCACAGCTGGATGGTTTTGATTTTAGGCCTGACAATCGTCCTGGTTAAGGCATTTTGATCTGAGAGTCTATTAGCAGAAGGCCAAATTGCTGTGTGTGAGATTCTTAAAACGGAGGATGGCATTTGTAACTCTTTTTAAATAGCTATTATGTTTTCAACTCCCCAAGGACAGCTTTTTTCCATAAATGATACAAAGCCAAAACCAACAGAGCAACAGAGACGGGCATGAAATATGAAAATGACTTTTTTCCTCATGGGCACACGGAAAATCCACTTGTCTTAGACATGTCAGTGATCACCCAAAATACCCCTGGCCAGCTGAATACTAGGGTGTTGGTGAATGTAATATTAAATGCTAGATTACACCCTTCCCACGTGTATTCTGTTGTTGGTCTTGTTAGGTAGATATGTAGGTGTCTCTTAAATACATCTCACCTGGGTCCAGTGTGTAGCATAGTGGTAAGGCACACTGCAATGCTGGCATCTCATATGGGTGCTGGTTCAAGTCCCAGCTGGCTCACTTCTGATCCAGCTCTCTGCTAATGGCCTGGGAAAAGCAACAGAAGATGGCACAATGTTTGGGCCCCGGCACCCAATGTGGAGACCCAGTATGAAACTCTTGGCTCCTGGCTTCAGCCTGGCCCAGCCCTAGCTGTTGCTGCCATTCTAGGGATGTGAACGAGCTGATGAAAGATCTCTCTAGAGCCTTTTCCTTACTTCTTCGAATCAGTATATACTTATATATATATTTATTTTTTTTTTTTTGAGAAAAAATTATTTATTTGAAAGGCAGAGTTACAGGGAGGCAGATTGACAGACAGAGAGAGAGAGAGAGATCTTCCATCTGCTGGTTTACTCCGCATGTGGCCGCAATGGCCAGAGCAGAACTGATCTGAAGCCAGGAAGACTTCCGAGTCTCCAAGCTGGTGCAGGGGCCCAAGGACTCGGGCCATCTTCCACTGCTTTCCCAGGCCACAGCAGAGAGCTGGATCGGAAGAGGAGCAGCTGGAACTCAAACCGGTGCCCATATGGGATGCTGGCACTGCAGGAGGTGGCCTTATCCAAAATAAATGTATCTTTAAGAAAATAACTATTGTTTCAAGAACAATGTGATTATAACTTTATCCACACTTTGATGCTTTTAAATAAGCTTTTGGGTTTGCCCTCCTAATAGAAGTAGTCACATGTTAGAAATGAGAAAAATCAGTTTAGTGCTTTTTGAACCCAGGAGTCACTAGATATTTCTTTTTCCATTCTTTCAGTCTGTATCTTGATAGTAAAAGTTTCTCGTAGGCTGCATGTGGTTTTTTTTTTTTTTTTTTTTTTTTTTTTTTTGACAGGCAGAGTGGACAGAGAGAGAGAGAGAGAGAAAGGTCTTCCTTTGCCGTTGGTTCACCCTCCAATGGCAGCCGCAGCCGGCGCACCGCGCCGATCCGATGGCAGAAGCCAGGAGCCAGGTGCTTTTCCTGGTCTCCCATGGGGTGCAGGGCCCAAGCACCTGGGCCATCCTCCACTGCACTCCCTGGCCACAGCAGAGAGCTGGCCTGGAAGAGGGGCAACCGGGACAGAATCCGGCGCCCCGACCGGGACTAGAACCCGGTGTGCCGGCGCCGCTAGTCGGAGGATTAGCCTAGTGAGCTGCGGCGCCGGCCAACATGTGGTTGGGTGTTAAAGATGTATTTATTTATTTGAAAGTCAGAGTTACACAGAGACAGAGGCAGAAAGAGAGGTCTTCCATCCGATGGTTCACTCCCCAGTTGGCCACAACGGCTGGAGCTGTGCCTATTGGAAGCCAGAAGCCAAGATCTTCTTCCAGGTCTCCCATGTGGGTGCAGGGGCCCAAGGACTTGGGCCATCTTCTACTGCTTTCCCAGGCCACAGCAGAGAGCTGGATTGGAAGTGGAGCAGCTGGGGCCCATATGGGATGCCGGCGCTTCATGCCAGGGCGTTAACCCACTGCGCCACAGCATCAGCTCCCAGGTCCTTTTTTCTTTGTTGACTTTAGCTTGTGTGGGTGTGTGCGTGTTTAGTGGTTGCCTTGGGTTTATGGTTTATTGCAGCATCTTTAGTGTGATAATAACCATAACCATCCTGGTAGGGTGTAAGAACCTCGCAGCGGTATAGATCGTTCGTCCCCTCCTGGTTTTTGTGATTGCTTCAGTGTGCTATAAGCCCACAAACATGCTGCTGTTTTTCCTTCAGATTGTTCTTTTTAAAGGAGACGTATTTGTGATATAGTTTTCCTTTTTTTTTTTTTTTTCTTCATTACTTTGTGTGCATCAGGAATTCTGTCTGGTATCATTTTCTTCTGCCTGCAATACTTCCTTCAAGAATTCTGTAGTTCAAGGCTATTGGCTGTCAGTCTTTTAGCTTTTTATGGCTGAAAAGGCTTAACTATGGGAAGATTTTCATGGAGTGTAACTAGATTGGCAGAGTTGCTTGTTTTTTCTTATAATGCTTTACGATGCTGCTCCTCTGATACCCGGCCTGCATCGTCTCTAACAGGGACGCTGCCGCCCTCGGCTTTGTTCTGTGTGCTCTCTGGCTGCTTTGTGTGTGTGCTGATGTGCATTGGTAGCATCTCTGTTTTTGTGCGTGGGGTTCTTTGAGCGTCTTGGTTCTGCAGTTTCATAGTTTCTGTGAAATTTGGAAAAGTTTTAGCCAGTATTCAGATTTTTTTTCAGGGACTTCACTTTTGAGGAGACTACTTTTTTTTTTTTTTTTTTTTTAAAGATTTATTTATTTGAAAGTCAGAGCTACACAGAGAGAGGAGAGGCAGAGAGAGAGAGAGAGAGGTCTTCCATCTGATGGTTCACTCCCCAGATGGCCGCAATGGCCGGAGATGCGCTGATCTGAAGCCAAGAGCCAGGAGCTTCTTCCGGGTCTCCCACGTGGGTGCAGGGGCCCAAGGACTCGGGCCATCTTCTGCTGCTCTCCCAGGCCATATCAGAGAGCAGGATTGGAAGAGGAGCAGCCAGGACTAGAACCAGCGCCAATATGGGATGCCGGCACTGCAGGCGGAGGATTAACCCAGTGGGCCACAGCACTGGCCCCAGATCTCTTCTTAAATTTTCAGATTGTTGACATTAAGCTTTATCAGTCAAAAGTTAAGGAGAGAGGAGAAAAAAGAGCAGTGTTACTATCACTAATGGTATAATCCAAGATTCTCAGCTTGGGGGAGGCATTTCGGTTGGCTTGTCTGCTGGTCACCAGTCTGAAGAACTCCCTCGTGGGTGGTTGTCATGACCAGGTTGGCCAGTTTCGCACCTCTCTGTTGTGAGGTTCCTCTTGGGGGCATTTGTCTTGTACAGTGGCCGGGGCTCTTAGCGATGGGCAAGGAGGAGAAGCAGCCTGCCTTACCGGAGCGAGAGTCGAGCCGTGTGCCCTGCGGTGAGCGGGTTCCTGTGTGTCTGCCCGCTGCTCTCGGCCTCACAGACGGCAGGTGGCTGGGAGCCTGGGGCTCCTTCGCCTGCAGCGTTGCCCAGGCTTGCTGAGCTGCTGTGCTGTGTTTGAAGAAGGAAGGGAGGTCACAGCATGATGCCGGACTGCTGGACTCCACTGGGTTCCCGCTTGTGCCGCCTTCTGGTTTCTCCTCCATGGTGCTCGGGGATGGGCGCCCCGGGCCGTGGGCTGAGCACAGAACTGGGCACGGCCCTCCTGTGTTCCCCTGGGACCCCAGCAGTGGCCTCGGCGTCTCTCTGGCTCATGGTGGTGAGAAGCAGTGAGGTGGAAACTGGAAGCGTGGCGGTTGCTGCCGCTGGAGGGAAGGCGGCCCTCTGCTACTGCGGCACAAGTGTGCATCCCGGTGGGGGGCCCGCACCTGCACCTGACACTGGTAAGATGCAAAATGAAACCCCACCGTGTGTGTCTCATGCTGTATTTTATTTCCTGTAGAATTTGTGGTGGATTGTCGAAAATTTTTGGATTCAAACGCACTGGGCCTAACGGTCATGGCCCTCAGCAGCTACGACCCCCAGATGCGAGCCGCGGCCTACTACATCCTGGCGGCCTACTACTCACACCTGGAGGGGGCCCGGTTCCGAGAGCAGCCCCAGGTAAGGGGGCCGTGGGGACAGCCGTGGCAGAGAGCTGGCGGTGGCCGGGGCCGGCGGAAGGACTTGCGGAGGAGCCCCTGCTGAGGGAGGGGAGCCTGTCCAAACCTGTAGGACGAGATGCAGGTGTTCCCAGCGCGCGTGGTGCCCTGGGGACGCTGGGAGCGGTTTCCTGTAGGAGCCCTTACGGGTGCACTGACTGCTTTGGCGTTCAGTGTTTCTGTAGTCTACACCCGGGTGAAGAGGCCGTTACCACGCAGCGCTGAGCTCAGAAACGTGCCGCTGGGGTAGAGGAGCAAGGGCAGATTCGGTTGGCGCCAGGCCTGACTCCTGGCAGCAGGGGAGGGCTCCCCACTGTGAGCTCTGGAGGGTCCTGAGGTGGGAGGAGCAGGTGCGTCCTGCAGTGCTGTGGTTCAGCCGCCCAGGGCAGGACCATCCCTGCTCTGACAGTGGTCGTCTCGCCCCGCACAAGGTTCTTTACCTGATGGATGTGGTCCGGAACGGGATTCGAACTCAGAACATGAGACTCACCTTCACCCTGGCTCTCTTCATTGCCAAAGCAGCCCTGCAGATTTTGAAACCAGGTACCATGGGTTAAGTAGCTTGAGGAGAAGTTGGAAAGCTGAGCTAAACAAGTCCATGTCTAGGCATAAGCAGTCACACTCGTGTGATAAAGGACACGTCGAAGGCCATTCAGTGCTTTGGGAGGGAAAGCTGGGTGCCACTGAAATACCCCCAATAGTGGGCAGTACCTGGTGCTGTGAGCAGGCGGATACCTAAAGACTTTAAAAAAGAAACAAGGTGCAGACACCGTGTGTGACGGGGAGAGGGTATCTGTCATCACTGCTTGTGGTTGCATGAAACTGCTGAGAGCAAATAAGCAGAAGTAAGAAGCCAGGTTGATCCCTTAGTGGATGTAGCCACGCTGAGGGCCCGTGTCCCAGGGCTGAGGTGAGGGCCCGTGTCCCAGGGGCTAAAGTGAGGGTCCGTGTCCCAGGTGAGGTGAGGGCCCGTGTCCCAGGTGAGGTGAGGGCCCGTGTCCCAGGGCTGAGATGAGGACCCGTGTCCCAGGGCTGAGGTGAGGGCCTGTGTCCCAGGTGAGGTGAGGGCCCATGTCCCAGGGCTGAGGTGAGGGCCCATGTCCCAGGGCTGAGGTGAGGGCCCGAGTCCCAGGGGCTAAAGTGAGGGCTGTGTCCCAGTGAGGTGAGGGCCTGTGTCCCAGGGGAGTGAGGGCCGGTGTCCCAGGTGAGGTGAGCGTCTGTGTCCAGGGCTGAGGTGGGGCCTGTGTCCCAGGTGAGGTGAGCGCCTGTGTCCTAGGGCTGAGGTGAGGGCCCGTGTCCCAGGGTTGAGGTGAGGGCCCGTGTCTCAGGGGCTAAGTGAGGGCTTGAGCCAGGCTGCTCTGACTTCCTTGTTGTTTCTTCCCTGTAAAGTGGGGGTGATAGTGGCACCTACTCACTCTGCTCCCACAGTCTGCTCCCTGTCATTTTTAAAACTTGGTTCCCCTCCCCCTCCCTCAGGAAGGAAATGAAGACCTTTATTTGTAGACCCAGTAGAATGTAGGGCAGGGACTGTGGGGTTTGTGGGCCTCGCCTCGTCCCGTTTGTGCCAGCTGGGCTCTGTCCCGCACCAGCCTGCTAGGGTGGGGGGGTTGTGCAGGGTAGCCGTGGCCCCAGGCTGCAGCAGGTCTGCACAGAGTGAGGTGGGTGGACGCGAGGGTGGGGCGCAGCAGGAGGTGCTGAGCCAGGGACTGCGCCTCCCTGTCTCTGAGCTCCCCCGGCCCGTGTGTGTGACCAGCCCCTGCTGTTTCCGTGGCAGTGGGATGATAATGGGGACATCCAGCCGTGGCCTCTGAGCTGTGGGGGAAGCCGTGTGCCACAGACCGCTAAGGCGGCCTCTAGTTTTCGAGAGCCAGGGATCGGGAGGCAGGGCAGAAGCCCCGGAGGGGTTGTGTCGGATAGCCCAGAGCACACCTGGGCTCAGCCGGAGGGTGTGGGTGCCCACGTACCCCACGTCTGCCTCTTCCCAGAGGAGCACATGTACTTGAAGATCAGCAAGTTCCTGCTGTCGCACGAGTACCTGAACATGGACAAAGTGCCAGGCTTCTACCAGTTCTTCTACAGCTCTGACTTCCAGGTAACGCTGCAAGCCCCTGAGCCGGGTCCCTCGGGCACTGTGGTCGCGCGGGCACTGTCCCGTCACCCTGTGCACTCGTGGCGCCAGGACTGCGAGAGCCACGTCAGAGCGGGGAGTCGGGAAGGGGACGCCTCCGTCCCAGCACAAGTTTCATGCAGCTTCTCGGCTGCGCCACGGTCCTCACAACCCTGAACGCAGCGGGGTTTGAAGCCGGCCGGCGGGGCTTTGCCTTTCCCAGCAGTAGCTCCCTGTTTTCCTGGCCGGCAGCACAGCAGGAGCAGGAGTGGGTGGGGGGTCCTGCGCGAGGCATCCGTGACAAGCACTGCTACGAGCTGTACGCCCGGCGGGGGGTCTTCCGCATCTGCTGGCCTTCTTCTGCAGCCCGCTGTGCGACCACGCGGCGCAGGTGAGCCGAGCCGAGGCCGGAAGGCCCGTGCCCTTCCTCAGGCTCCCGGTGGGAAGTCGGGTCCGCGTGGACACTGATCCGGACAAAGACGGGGTTCCGTGAACGCCCCTCCCGGGGGCTGCGCCGCACAGGCCGATCCATGCGTGGAGGCTGGGTGGTGGCGCCCTGCCCTTGGCTGACAGGAGGCCTCTTTGCTTTGCCATCTAGAGGGAGGGCCGGTCAGGAATCAGGGGCCCCTGGAGCTGGCCCCGGAGTCCAGGGCACAGCAGCCTCCTCAAGTGATGGGGGCACTTGTTGGGGTGCGCTCGGGCCCCAGGAGGAGGCTACCGCGGGCCCAGAAGCTGCGAGTCGTCAGGGCCCGGCCAGGAAGCTACCGGCCTCGCCTGCCGGTCAGGGAATCTGTGCGTGCAGCTCTGTCCCCCAACACCGAGTGCTGGAGGGGAGGGGAGGGGCGTTTTCTAAAGACCTCAGGTCACTGGAAGAAGTGAACAGGAAAAGCCATTGGCATTTGAGTTCCTGGCCTGACCAGCCCTGGTTGCCACCATTACAGATACAGGCAAACTGGAGTGAGGATTAAGAAGCGGTTGAAATAAGCTCAGTTTGCGTGAGAGCCTGTTCTGGCATGGGAACAGCCGAGGGGCAGCTCCGGGCGTGCGGCTCCCTTGCCAGGAGTGGAACAGGGCAGGAGTGGTTCGCCGCTGGGCTGGAGCGGGGCTGGGGCCGGCTCTTTATGTTGGGTCAGCACCCAGGCACCGCTGTGGACACCGCGTCCCCGGGCTGCCACTCGCGGGGAAGGGCGTTTCCTGCCTGGCCGCACCTGTAATTGGCACAGCCCGGTGGAGACCTGTCCCTTTGGCCACGTGAGCGACACCTTCCCGCTGCGGAGTGACTTTGGTTTGGGGTTTTCAGAACTGGATTCTAGAAATCCTGCAGAGTGCTGCGCAGGTCGCCAGTCTGCCTATGAGTCATCCGGGACTACAGCCTCCTGACCTGGATTTACACATCCTCGAGAAAAGTAAGGCCCTCCTCCCGAGACGATGGCACAGCTGCCACCAGCTTCAGCCTGAACCACCCGCCCTCCCCGTGCCTGGCCGTCCTGCCCCGGGAGCGCCCAGTGCTTGTCCTGCCCTCAGATCCCGCTTCCCGTGCCCCCTGTCTGCCGCGGAGTGACAGCCACCACCTGCTGTCGACGTTGGCAGAGGCGTCCCAGCCTCCCTGGCTCCATTAGCACGGGTTTCAGATTCCTCCCCGGGGCCGGCAGGCCACAGCCCCTCCTGAGTAGAACCGTGGGAAGCTCCGTGGAGTCCACGTGTGACAGTGGGTGACCGTGCTGGAGACGGGCCTCACTGAGTGCTGTCACCTCCAAGTCCAGTGGGGGACGTCTGGGAGGCTAAGGGCCAGGCGTGGGGGGCAGAGGGGTCTGGCTCTCAAAGCTCTGGCTGCTCTCAGTCCTGGGCTATCTGGGTCCTGGTTGTGCATTTTAAAAAAGCATCTTAAAGTCATAGCCAAAGCCTGGAGTGTGTCTTTGGACGTTGGTCTTAAGACCATCGGCTGAAACGCGTAACCGGCTCATTACTGTTTGCCTGAGAGCGGTGTGTCAGGAGTCGCACGTTGTCCTGGGTGGACAGCTTTTATTGGGGTGTGGCAGCAGCACCCAGGTTTCTGTAGGGACCCAGGCAGCCATCTGGTTAGAGAGCTGGGGCCTCAGCTCTGCCGAAGCTGCCGGGGTGCAGCAGGCTCCCTGTTTCTGCTCAGAGGCCTTGCTGCCTGGGGCGGTGTGCACTGGACCTCTGCTTGGTCCCGCCCTGCCGCCATGTTGGGTCCCACACTGCCCCTGGACTGGTCCCCTTGGTGGGCAGGGCCCTGGTGGAGCTGGAGCGCATCTGTGTCCGGTTGCAGGTTCCTGGAGACCCCGCTCTGTGTCCAGCGGATCTCCTTGCTGCACACGCTGTG